GAATAAATATACGTTTATTGTTAGAAATTGCCTGTTTGTGTTCAGATATATCGAGTGAAACAGTCTTGTAAATTAACGAAACTCCGCCCATGGTATAACATGAAACATATCACATGTTTTTAAACGTAACGGTAGATTAACATTTAGTCTCGGAAATAACTTTTACAGAGAAAAAAAACGGTCGTTAAATTATAGCTATAAAATGTAATAAAAAGGAACCAAAAGACAATCTTCATTTTCAAACACTGTGGTAATCTAGACTTGCCAAATATTATAGACTTGCATGGGCTTTATTGGATGTATTTGTTTCAGGGTCTGTATGAGACGCTACTGTTTGATATTAGTGCGTATTTAGTAAAACACAATGTAATTTGTGACAATTGTTTATTCTGATTGAATGAAACGAGCACATTAATTGCCAGATTACATTTTGCGTCTATGTTTTTGGCGGCTCGTTATGCATTAATCTTCCTGATTTGATAGTCTGAGCAGACATCAGTGATTTAAAAACATATATCCATGGGCCATTCGTAATTAACATCCACAAACATAATGAGCGCGGAATTAGGCGGGAATCCTCGCCGGAAATCAACTAGTTATGCCTCGATCGTCCGCTAAATTCAAGAAACAAAATCAGCGGAGCAATTAATTAAGCGCATTAACGAGATGTGTGCAGTGGATCCACTTAGCCACCTAACGTGGCATAATGACAGTAATTGAAGCCCTTTGTTTTGCCACTTGCTGGTTGAATATCGTTGGTTCTATTGAAGAGCACTCCCGTGCTGGTTACCCCATTCCCTCGATACACTGGCAATCGGATTATGTGATACGGGTGTTTGCGCATGTGTAATTATGACATCATTGTCATTGTTTAGAAGCAAATAGCAGCTAATCCTCGCCCACTATGTGTAGAGCAAACATGCTGAATCGGGATAGGGTGGTTGTTCCACACTTAGCAGTTTGTAATGCAATCTGTTTGTCAGTTTCGCGCTATATCGAGGTAACGATGGCCCATACGTAGTCAGTTTGACGGCATTGTTTGTCAATCGTTTACTGAATTGACATAAATTTCATGTTTGCTTTGTGATAATGGTTTGTCACAAACTAATCTGACAATATAGTGCTACAATCAGTGTCAGTATAGATACAGAAGTATATGATCAAGCAAGTGCAACAAACATTATAATATGTCAATTACAACATTTAATATCAATCTCGAAAGTGGGTTTCATATACACAGGAAGCCTTTCTTGAAAAGCATGGTAATAACGATATACGTGTAAACATATTTAAGTGGAAGTTACGGCAGGTCGATACATTATATTATCATGCTAACAAATGTATTCATTATCAATTATGCACATCGGTGGTGGTGCTCTCTGTGAAATAACTGACGATACTACAGAATATTGAAACAAACATGTGCAAAACACATTTACATCCACGATCAACTGAAAATTACATCACGCGTTGTAACTAAAATGCGCGTCGGCGTTAATGGAATCTTATCACCTTTAGGGTAATATAAACATCGATTCATAAAAAATCAAATATTAGCAAAATAGATTCATCAAAGTCATAAAGACATACTCCAGTTTCCACTCCTCTTTTACAAGACGATATATTGTAACACGTTTGATGCTGTGATATGATCGTTAATAGCACAGGGCTCTTCTTATACCGTGTTAGAAATGTAGTAATGTCATCTTGAAATCACGCGATGACTTGGTGACTGCATGTACCACCTAACCCTCTCTACACCTCCTGTGAAATATGCCATGTTACCTATGTATGTTCAGCTGGCTGCACAGACGTTATCAAATCAACGTCTTTGTAACATTTGACGTTAATATTACAGCTTAAACAACATGCCATTTGTTGATACAAAACATCTCCGCAGTCTGCGATAGAAATAATGTATAACAATCAAAACCATCGATATCACATGTCAGTCATTACACGTCACCTAACCCTAACATAACCTCTAGGAAGGCGAAGGTCAAGTTACATAAATGACGTGAACGTAATGTCGGCTAGGAACGTCAATATTTGCTCGTCTGTGACTTGCAAGGATTCGTGTGTTGACTCCGGCATTGTTGAGCATGTGGAAGGAAACCAATGGCCGTTACTACATAAGTACATGGAATGTTTGCTCTGTATGTACTGGGTGTATAAACTGTTTACCTTTACAATTACTGGTTGCCCATCGCAAATATATGGGGTCTGAAATACACTTCAAAATCGAGGTGATATTAATTTCAAGGTATAATGCAATAGCGTCTGGACACCCTATTGTCCAGACCTCGTAATTTCATTCTACATAACCTGCCCAGCACATTTTTCTTAAAAATACACGCGTGTATTTTTGGTTTTGTTTGACGTTTAACGAAATATTCCAGCTATATGACGGACGATTGTAGATAATCGAGTCTAGACCAGATAATTCAGGGATTGATATCATGAGCATTTGGGATACGATAACATGTATCAACCAATGACCACCCTACCCCGGTAGTCGCATCTAACGTCAAGCATAGACGCCTGTAACGACAAGCGTGGGTTGCCGAAGACTAATTATAGCCCCGATCTTCACGGGTCCCAAGACTCACGGAAATACATATTCCCTCTTCCAACATTTGCACTTATATAAATGAGATTTAACTGCACTTTAAAAAAAAACAAAAAACATATTCAGTGGTGGCGACTCTCCTACAAACTGAATATTCGTTATCTCAAACTTCGGTTATCTGATTGACTCGGTTGTTGTGCCATACAGACCAGTGCCAGTTGGTCCATGTACGTGGTGTGCACGTTATAACGTGTTGGAATTCGAGATGCCCTGTTGAATAAATGATGACCGGACGTGGCCAGTCCTGAATCAATTACAACACGCGTGTCATCAGCTAGATACACACGTCTATTTCATCTGTATTTATTTCGCCATGATCACCTTGTTTTGGCAATTGCAGCCATCCTTTTGCGTTGTCTATTTCATCCACCAAGAAACAAATAGTCACCGCCGTGTAAACTCTGATTATACGTCGTCTATTCATTGCTAAAACAGGAAAAACATTAAAATATGGTTGAAAAAAGCCCTTGGAGCCCTAGTCTCCCTTCATGGATGCCAGACATGCCTGTTATTCTAGTACCTCTAACCCCCGCTCTCTTGTGTCAGGTATGACACACATTATTTATTCAACGTGAAACATGCAATTAATTGTTCATCCTCCCGGTGATTGGAAAGGTAACATATATTCGAAGGTGGGAAGATTTTGATGTATGAGAAATAGCAGGAACATCAGTGACATAAGATACTGATCTTGTATTAATGATTACATTTTCTTCAACCGACCACAAGCAGTGAGTTTATCCAAAACCGAAGCATTTTTGCCAGCCTTTTAGACTGGCAGTTAAGTCACGAGATGTAACAGCATATGCTTAAATAACAATGGAGAAATAATGAAGACTAAAATGGTCAATTTTTATAGCCTTTAAAACTTATCTGTCACTCTCTCTTTCCTATCAGGGGGCACGGGTGGCCCAGTCGTCTAAGGCGCCGCGATTTGCTGTGCAGAATTGCGTCCATTTGGCACGCCAGAAACCTATGATTGTGGGTTCGAATCCCGGTTCGACCCGATTATGTTTCTAGGTTTGTCAGCACCGTGCTCGTGAGTTTCACCGAAGTGGTTAACGTCTGAAACCTGCATCACTTCGGGCTTTCCTCCCACATAAAGCTGACACGCCGCGATATAACTGGAATACTGTTAAAAGAGACGTTAAAACCCAACACACTCACCCACTCATATTAGTTTCATTTTGCGCAAAAAGCACATTGGAATTAATCTTTGATCGGAGAAGTCTTAAGAACGATTCTTCAAATTACACTTGCATACACTTAATACCTATTATGTATGTATCCTGTCACATATTCTTATTTTAAATGTCAGTGTATCAGTGAAGTATTTTCTTTCTGATGGTGTATAACTTAAATCCCCGTGACGTCACATACAGGATTTCTTGTACTTGACCAGCAATGGATATGATTGACGACTCCGCGGTAACACTTGTGCGTGCACAATGAATAATCCTACGAACAATAGGTTTTTATGTAATGTAAAGAATTATCCCGATTTCATTTAGTATCAATACTCCTGTATTAACAAACCGGCACCCCAAACCTATTATTTCACGAAATGACAAGGAAATGCGATTATGCGATTGCTCATTCATCTCAGACAATTCTTGATCCTGCGTGTAGAATCTATAATCGATGTCGATACCTTTGACTCTAAACCCCATCAAGGCCATTTCAGAATGTTCATTAATCCAGACTCAGTCCAAGTTACTGGAACGAGTATAACACACACGTGAATAAAGTAACAAAGTAAGATATTGGAAAATGGTGTGTGACCTAAATGCCCTGCTAATCCAAGTCATCCGGGCATGTCTAAGACAATATGTGCAATTATTCTTTGCGAGGTGTTATAAATCAATAGAACATGATCGTCATCAAGTTGTAGCATTTTCTTATTTCTAGGCACCGAAGAAATGTTGAGTTATTATCTAACACTAAATTCATTGCCTACGTCAAATACGTGTTTAAATGTTGACCTATACTCTTCCACTGATTTAAAAAGGAAGTCCGCTGGGATGAAACTGCCCAGGCTTTGATTTATGAACTCCGTGTACGAAATAGCGCTGTGGTATATTCAGTGTGACCCGAACCTTGTCGCTAGCACTACTGTTTACAATGTTTATTGTTTTCAACCCCCCCCCCCCCCCCCCCCCTCCAACCATACGTATTGATGTGTACTGACAGTAGTCACATACACAAGACAGCGTGGTCTATGAATATCAATTTCACTCCCGTTGTTTACATCGCTGCCATTGGCGCGCCAATCAACATCGGCCCAGCCAATGAGAGCGCAGCATATTATTTATACCGGTTTACATTGTTGCTAAGCCGGGGCTTATTCACCACGAGGGCTATTTATTTCCACTCAATGAATGTGACCCTCAGTTGTGTCACGGGCCCTATTCGACGGGGAAAACGTGTGGATGTTCATCCAAACAGAAGTAAATAACAACAAGTGCATATTACAAGTGACAAGTCGGAATCAATTTCAGTCATACGAAAAAGGGTTCCGATTGTAGTTGCAAACTGTTCGTACTTGGATTTTAAGTGTTTACTTCATTTCGTCAATACCACAGCTGATCGGACGTCAAACTGCTGAATGACAGGTCTTGATATCAACACGCCGTCAACAAGACCCGTCGCCACAACTCACTAAAACACATAAAGTAAGTGCAAATTATCAGTTTAAAATACACATATATAGCGGCAGAGCATCGCCACTCATTGTTTTATTGACAGTTAACGTGTAAACAATTAAACCCCGTTATGTTATGACGGGAGCCAAGGCGTGTTGAGACCGGCTTCAAGATCGGCGCTTTCCGTCAGCGGGCTCGCCAAGTCTGTCGTAGCTTGTCTTCATGCAATCATTGTAGGCGGACCGGGAACCGGGACCTTGTATATTTCAAGGGCAGTAGTGGATATGGTCAGGTTATGATAATTCTGCTTCAAAACTGCTATTCATATTTCGGCTGTACATAAGGACGGAGGACTACTCGCTGTGATGGAGTGACCAGTGGGAACTTGTCCTGTCGCACTTGATATTGGCTTACTTGTATGTATTGATTGTTTAAATAACATTCTCTCATGATAGGCTTGATCTCTAACACGAAACAGTGAAATCAACATGAGGAGATTTCACTAAAACCTCAAAATAATCTTTTGATATAGCATTGTAATTATCATGGAATCTAATCAATGTATACCATTCTGGACGCACCTGTTCACGGTGACGACAAAGGATACATATAGTTATAAAAAACAATTCCTTAATTTCACCCTTTCTTATTCTCGCACCTTCTGGATGCATCGCCAACCCTCCCACTGTCAGAACCCGTGGTGACATAAACAACCTTATCAATGAAGGAAACCCCTGCTATTAGCCTTACGTCATGGTTATCGATTTCCTTCGTATGCCTGGCATCCCGGCTGCCACGAGTGTGTGTGATATCCTCTCTGAAGACTTACTGTAATCAAAGCCTATACTAGTATTCATCTAAAGTATTGATCATAGTTTCAGGGTGTCAGGTTACTCTTGATTCTGCATGTAGATCTGAGCACGCGAAGGACTTATTGTGGCATCGTTGTTATGTACAGTATTTCTTTCATGTCAGTGTTGTTAACCTCCGATATGCTGAACGTCCGCTGTAACGTGTGTATTAACATTATTGCTCCACCTTATCGTTAGCGAGTGCAACATTACAACAGCTCCATTAAAGCCCTGATGTATTAATACAGTTGGCCAAGTTTCAATACATCTGTTCAATCATGAAATAGATTGGGTACAGGTCAACACAACATGGAAAGCCCTCCCCGACAAGAACACGTATTGACACCTGTGTAAAGTTTTAATCTAACACACTGTATATTTTTCATCTTCAAATAGCATTTTGATAACGAAAGAACACATTGTAAACGGAATTCTATAATCTTAATAGCCACCCCCTGTAGCTGATTGGAGTGAAACGTTTCTCCAACTATTCCTGGACAGCCATTCGTGTAAGTCACGCCTGACAGAGTTCAGTGGGCTAAGAAATGGTTATTTTTCGCTAGTTGGACCGTCATTGATTTGCAGAGCAAGGGTCGATAAGTACGAGCACAGGTAACCCAATTAACCATGAAGCTGATTACCCTAATTAAGTCTACCAGTGCGAGGCTTGCGGGGCAGTCACAGTGATGGTAGTTAATACGTGAGCGGAACCCCACAAGCCACGTCTTGCACGCCACCTCAAACACGGCCTACATTGCCATGCCTCAGCAGAAACATGTACATATCTGTATAGGGTCTCTGGCTATATGACCTGAATACAATACGGTACAAACCTGTATAGGGTAATCTGTAATTTAGTAAATTACTTACATTAAAATACCGCTAATGACTGAAACTAGTTGTAGATCACGCGTGTTCTATGGTTCATTGACCTTGGTAATGTCCGTTGTTATTGTTTCCGTATGGCGGTTTTATACAGTTTCCTTGTTTCCTTCCAGTTCATTCAGTCCATCAACCAGCAGCCAAGACGAAGTTCCTCAACAACCTCACGCTCAAATCCCCGGCCAAAATGCCAATTCTAACACGTGACCATTTGGCCAACAAGTTCCGGCAGAACTGGGCCGCCAAGCACCCCCTTGATTCCTGTAGCGGGGGAGGGGTCAACCTAGATGACAGCTTGACCAGTCTCAGCTGGCTTCAGAACCTCAACATCATGAACATCACATCCCCCACTCCACCACCCAGCCCGGGGCCACAAGATACTTCCAACAGAGCCTTCAAGAACAACAACAACAACAACGTCTGCGTGCTAACCACCGTCCAGCCACCCAAGGTTGACTCCCGTATCAACCTGGCCGACCCCGCACCGGCCTGCCTCGGGTACGGCACTGACTCCATCGACTACAAGTCCAACCCATATGTGAAACCCCCCTACTCCTACGCTACACTTATCTGCATGGCGATGAAAGAGACGAAGAAGAATAAGATCACCCTATCTGCTATCTACAACTGGATCACTGAGAACTTTATGTACTACAGAATGGCCGACCCTAGCTGGCAGGTGAGGGGAAATCTGTTATTGACCATATACATTCCAATACTTTCAAAACCGGATTTACAAAGCCGCGTTTAACCCAACTCAATTACTGAATAGTCCACAATTTTAATTCAGAAACTAATCTCGTCACATTATCCTGAGCAATAGGTATGTTTACTTCTGCCGAGGGAATGACGTAATTTATTGACACAATCATATTCAATTACTAGAAACAATTATTCATCCCTGAGCAATAGGTATGTTTACTTTTGCCGAGGGAATGACGTAATGTATTGACACAATCATATTCAATTACTAGAAACAATTATTTATCCCTATATCCGGCGAATTTGTAATGAGATAAGGGCCAAATGCCAGTGTCGAATGTCACAATGACTTGTAGACTAGGGAAGGTCTTCTCCCACTGAGAAAGACAATTGAGAGAGCAATGCCATTAGGAGCCAGCTCACCCTCCCCAGACCTCCCTTCCCCACCCACACCGCTCCATTGTCCCACACGCTCTCAAAAATCATTAAATCCACAAGACGGAGGGCTTATTACTGAAGAAAGGCTCCACCTTCCGCGACAATCGATATCTTGATATACCTATCGATTTGTGTGAATAAATAAGCATTGTTGTCTCCATGTTTGCCTCAGAGAATACGTAGGCGTTAGACACAAATACTCTATGCTACGTTAGTACACCCGGACGCATATCTTATAATGATTACATTTTTGTCCGTAGTTTGTGTTTGAATATGTTTTCAAAACCCTGTTTCATTTTCTGTCGAAACATGATTTTAAACTGATCTTGTTCTGTGTTTTAGAATTCTATACGCCATAACCTCTCTCTCAACAAATGCTTTGAGAAGGTTCCCCGGCGAAAGGACGAGCCAGGGAAAGGTGGTTTCTGGCGGTTAAATCCCGAGTACAGCGACATGATCGAGAATGGCATCTTTAAGAAAAGGAGGGGGAGCAGAGATTCATGCCCGGCTCCACCCGCCAAGAAGATCAAGAAGGAGGAAGACCCGTATAGCTTCTTGCACGAAAACACCAAGAACCAACGCGAAGACAAGTTGCTAAGTAATGGCTCAGTGATACATTTCAGTGCCCATGATGAAGATGAGGAAGAGGACCCTGCGTTAAAGGGGGACTTCAACTGGACCTCTATATTGAGTCAGGACATTGAAATAGCCGGGATTAAAATCAAAACAGAACAGCTGCTTAATGATGATTCCGACGCTGGGCCTTTGATAGCAATGAGCCCTCCTAGTTCAGAAAGCAACTCAGACGATTTAGGTCTGGATGACTTGTTGTCCCAAACCGACCTTGTCAATTCGGACTTCCCTCTAGATTTCACGAACAATTGTCCACTGGATTTAACGGTTAGTGGTACAGGAATCAAAGCGCCCGATTGGTGGGAGGTCGGGGTCAATGGTCGCAGCAGTTTGACAGACATTGCCAACACAAATGACAGCCGTCTATCAACACCTGTCCATCAACCGGGCTATGATGACCACATCAGCTGGGATGATGGGCCAAGTGTTGCAGACATTGCTAGTGCTTTCGACGTTGATAATCTGTTTGACATTGAAAACATACCAAGTCCTCGGTTATTATGAGGTATCGTTTCATAGACTACCATCAGCATTATTCACTCTCCACCCATTGTGTACCCCAAAGCTCATTGAGGAGATTACACCAATACACGAGCCAACGAAGGGCCGACCTGGCTCAAGGAATGGCTGTGAAACCAGTATTGTGATGATGTCCCATACAGAGACGTGCCAAACATGCTTGGAGCTTGTCAGGCGTGATGCCTAAGAATGGACATCGACATAGGGTATATATTGTACATATCAGCCTATTTATATAACAAACCAGTTGTGTGTTTGATCATTCTCTGCTCACAGCTTGAGACTGCCTTTTTATATTTCATAACCACGGTGTAGATTGCAGGCCTCGGTTGTGACCGTGTTAGTTACCTGGCACACCGTCAAACTCTGGACAAAAGTGAAAGTTTATTTTTTACTTATTTATTGGGCATATAAGTGCTACACTTTGGCTGTATCTACAGCCTTAATGTCTGTTTTAGCCAACTTGTTACATCAAAAACAAATAACTGTGCATTCCAGGGTGCATTGATATGTACAACCGTGTCACTTATCACGACATGACGAGTAATGTATCACGCATCTTTGACGTGTGTGTATTGTTAAAGGAGGCGTTCCAAAGAAACTTTCAAAACATTGTTTATACAAACGGTATAATCCCGAGGCCTGACTCCCGTGTAGCATGCACTTGTTAATTGTTGTACATTGCAGATGTCAATTTCATTTACATATTTATTTCCTTGTGTTGTGTGAGTGTGATACTGACATGCCCATCACAGATCCGTCCATATTTACCTATTTATATATCCAACTTGTGATATTTTTTTACAAAAATGATTTTTTTGCGAGAATAAATGCAAAGATTTATTAACATTTATTGTACATATATTCAAAGTTGAGTCTTGGAAGACGATAGTTCACAGCAGGTATATATAGCGTCATGTTCAAGTTCCGTGTTGTGTGCCCTGTTCAATTCTCAAAGCAATAGTCAAGTAGCTGTCACTGTCGGATGACGAACACGTAATACTTCTGTAAGGGTGACAAACAGTTGCCTCGTTATATGTCTATCATGTTCCATTACGCTGATAAATATTTGGAAAACCACACCTCTTGAATTCCTACCCCCAGTACCTTTGAATGTGTATCGATACTATACAACATAGGGGAGCAGAGTATGTTGTCCCGCAGCACGGCTCTCCCTTCAGCATGACGTAGTCAACTCCCGTAAACAGATTGTATCACTGGAACAGTCCATATATTTTTGGGGTAGGGGGTGGGGTGTCTGGTATAATAGAACCTCTGATAAGACATGGCGGGCAAGCGAACACGTAGTTTATTACTGCAATCTGTCAAGTTGGTTAAACACTTTGATGAGATAAAATACTTGGAACGCCGTCAGTGCTTTGAACAATTGGCATGAATAGGCCAAAAGCAAACGCTAAACAACCTGTTATAATTAAATAATCTGATTTGAAAATATAACCCTACTTGATTAATTTACTCACGTCACTCTTTTAATTTTGTTTCAAAATTTCAAAGATTCTCTAAACTGTATTGATCGTATCGGTAGAAGAAAGCAAATGTTTTCCTTAATTTGTCAAGTATTGTGTTGAAATGTGGACGTATTGTATTCCAGGGAGGTAATACAAGACGGCCCTATGGTTACAAAGAATACCCATGTAAATATTTGGTTTCAATTGAAACATTAAGAATGGTTTGATCAATGGAGGTGGGAGGATAAGTCAAGTTGCTCAAGGAACAGTTTTCACTGTGTACAAAGACCAAATATGAACTGGTACAATGTGATTATTCAAGGTGTTAAAAGATCTTATATCGCCATGTCTCCGAGTCTAGTATTTGCAGTGAAATGTATTCACGGGTGTATCATAAAACGTGTCAATGAGAATTCCACTTTGAGCGGCCTGTGCGCCGGGAAGGGGCAGGTTCAGACAGGCTGTCAAAGGTAATGGTACACTTACGTCTCCGACAGTCTTGTGTGTGTTTATCTGCAGCGCTTATCGTGTGGCATTCCCGACGTCTACTAGCAATCATGACTATTCGTTTCACTTATCAGAGGTGTTAACATTGAAATAAGTGATAAAATATGTTTCACCTGAAAGCAATTATTATTCAGGATTTTAGTGAGATGCGTACAATGCTATGTGTTTATTTTGCATAATTCTTTAAGTGAAAATGTGTCGATTTCACTATTATTTTGGTTTTGTTGAAATCGGTTGATGTTGAATGATATTTTAACATAAGGATGCTGTGCAATGTATAATGATTTTACATATTAGGTGATCACATATCTGCACGGTACGCGTACTAGTTCTACAAGGTATTCACGTGTACACGATACCAGAGAGCAATTTAACGGTTGTCGATAGCCTTTTTTGCTTGCTTATCAACTTCCTGTCAGTCATAACGCGTGTCGAAATACATTTCATGGCATTGCTTCGCTACAGTGTCCGGGGGAGAACTGAATTGGCTTTGTATTGTTAATCTGGGCGTTTGATCCGCTCTGAGACGTGCAGAGACAAGCCTGGGTTTAGCCTCACAGGTAGCCCTAGGGTACTGACTGATCGCCGACAGTAATAGACATACTGTATTGATTATCAATATCTATAGCTTGGATATCGACAACGTCCATATCGAGGTTGCTACTGGTGGTCTATTTAGCTTATCTTAAATGGCATACTTGATATTTCAGATCTTTTTTAATTAAGTTGCCAAAACACCTTCATGGCGGCGTTGTTTGTAGCAGTTAGAGCAGCATTACGCGCTGTGTGTGCTAGATGTACATATGTTAGTGTCATCGAAAGTATTGTATTCAAGTCTGATCCACAATCTGTGATATTTGTGTGTGAAACTAGACAGTATTGACGTATGTAGTCAGGTTGTGTTTCTTTACAACACTCGTATTTTTAATAACTTCTTTGAGAGGCATTTAGACGGTGAAGTCCAAAGGAAGGATAAGGTTTATGGATGAACAACTTCTTTATTACAATTAGGAGCGACGTTTACACCGAAACATCGTTGCTAATTGTAATAAAGAAGTTGTTCACCCATATATCTTATCCTTACGTAGTATTTTTTAATACTTTACCCATTGTACACTTTACAGTAAAGCATGTATAATTCCACTCATTATGCCATTCCAAACAAACCAGTAAAACATCATTCCAAAACGTGTGGTGAAAGTATTGAACCTGTGATAATTATTTCAAAATCAACTTTCTCCATTAAAACATTGCTGATTAAGTGTGTGCTACGACTGAAACGAAGGCCAGTTGTTTATGAACCTGCTCAATTCTTACATGTGACATTTGACAATGTTAAATATGGCACGTGTTGAACCTGTTTGTAATTTCAAGTGATCTGTTAAACTAGTCACGCGTGGTTTTGAGCACCTCTCAACACGCGTGACTATTTCACAATATGTAGCATTATTATTGTAACCGTGTTTCTTTCACAGCTCGCTTGTCCATAAGTTCGCATTTTAATATGACAAGAATATTAGTGTATATAACATGGTGTCCTTCTTTGTGTGTCACAGGACGAGTGATAAGAACATGTTATCGACTGGTGTATATTATCTCCTGTGATTCCTGTCATATTAGTTTCCAATCGCATGAAGCTTGTACATTTCCGTCAAGACCCGATCCGGTCCGTATTATTAACTACAAAAGCTATCATAACCCTATTGTTATGATGAATAACATATCTTCATTTCATGACATTTTATTGTCACACCTGTCGAAACTGAAAAGTACATTTCAAAGACTTTTCATCACAAAATATTTAAGATGTACTTTTCAAACATTAGCATACAAAAGTGCAAGCCATTTACCTAATCATACTGAACGCTATCATATTTTTCAAATGCCCAGCCTGGTTACACAGGGAACCAGGCTGTCAAATGTCGAGATATTGTTGAAGGATTTCAAACATTCTCGAGTATTCTTGCACAGTCAGTATTTCCGCCCTTGTGACCAGTATTTGCACATGTTCCAGGCTATATCATCCGTCCATATGTTATACATTGTCAGTGTGGTTTACACGAGCTGCTGGCTCGACCTGCGTGAGGTCATGATCTGTGATGTGAACATGACAATAAAACATGAACAAATACAATCAATACTTTGTCTTACTATGGGATGTCTATGGAGTTGAGTTGGTCGATGCTGGAGCAAACTATTGCTGCTGTGGAGGTGGGGCGCTGTCGAAGTCGTCGTGGTCCGCTGTATCGATGGTCTTCAAGGATGCGTGGAACGTTGGTCATGCTATCAACCACTAGTTTGGCTGGTCAATTTAAGATACACTTTGTGTCAGTATACGTGCCGGTGTACTAGTTTCTTATATCTACATCGGCCACCTACGTGGTGTAGTGGATAGAGCGTCAGCCCAGAGAGCGGAAAGATGGTGGTTCGATCGCTTGGCCGCGTCATACCGATAGATTTTTAATGAAGGTATTTGTTGTTATCGTGCCTGGCGCTTGGATGTTAAGGGGATAAAACAAGGACTAGCCGATTCTGAGTTTGTATACTGTGTCTAAGTGGGTTATACATGTTAAACTGCGGCATGGTATCTGAGTGGGCTAGCACTATAAACCCGACCGTCCGGACTAGCAGCCACACGTGGCACGTCGTTGAATAAATGAACAAATTTTGAACGCGACGTGAAACCCGATTTCTTACCACCTCACCTATATCAATATGCAAATATGTCCATGTCTTTATGTAAAACAATATTTAAAAAATATAATTTGGTTCAGATTCTATTATATCCGATCTAATCTGTGTACTACATTCTTTATCTAGATAATTGACTGAAAAGATCTTACATGCTGTAATGCAAAATAAAATTATTAAAAAATAAAATGTTTGGGTATATCTTTAGGAATGAGCCTTATGCTCTTAATCTTGCAAAGCAAACATTGTTAAATTTGCTCAATGTTGGCCATGGTTTGTTTCAAAAAATATATTTGAACTTGATTTCGCTTAAATCTTTGCTATAAATGTTTTTCAAGAGATTTGTGTCAGGAAATTAACATATCAATAGCCGTAATGACCAATACAAAATTTAAAATAATAAATAAGAAGAAATGGTCTGTCCCTAATTTTAAAGTATTGGTCTGATAATATTTAACGCATTATCTTGCAATTAAATACATCGTAATACCATGGCTCTATATTTCCAATCGTAGCCTTGCATTCTTCTCGATAAAAAATAACTCCTCTCAAGGTATCAACCTGCTTCGTCTAACTTTAAAAAAGCAAACAGTAGCAATCAGACAACCCAAGTAAAATCAGGGATGAGTGACTTTGCTGGTAAGACACAGTAGGCATGTTGATCAACTAATTTTACTGTTAACACGGTGCACAAAATTAAAACAAGACATATATATATTTAACCGCAAAATTTATTTATCTATCTTAGCACTTATACGTGAGTAAAAGGTTGTCAGCAAATGTTATGCAGCACTTATCACCACAAGCATTATGTTGTCAACAAGATACAGACACACATGCATATTTGAGTTGCCTTCCGCTACAGTCTGCAAGGACCTCGTCAAGCACTGCCCACGTGGAGTTGGTCACTTCATGGATTGGTTAACCTTCTTTGTACGTTTATCTGACATTACCTTGACGGTAACCTCAAGTGTAATCCAGATTTCAGATTATCACGTTGATATCCTCATTTTAGTACAAGCAAGGTGACAAAGCTGATCCAGAATTGAGTTACGTGGGCGTAGACGTGAACATGTATTATATAAGGCATCCTTGGCCGGGCTTATGATTGACAAATTAGCCACGATAGTGCTGTGATTGATACGGATTTGGCTTTGTGGAACTGAGATTCCCAATGCTTTATACAGATGTGACATAGTATGTACTGTAGATATGCATTGAACCCTGGGTGATATGTTAAACACCCAGTTCCATTGTGTTTGTTCTAGCGATCAATGCATATTTCATTTAATATTTGAAATGAATGTTTACTCCAGTGCATAGCACAAAATCAACACAGGGCATAACTCCAAGCAAGTAAAACTGACTGGAGGATTCATTCAAAGATAGAAAGATAGAAAGATAGATAGATAGATAGATAGATAGATAGATAGTGCGGCGTTAAACAAGAAACCAAACCAAAAAAGAATGTAGACTAAAAGGCGACTAACGGGATCGGGTGGTCAGGATCGCCGACTTGATTGAGGCATGTCATCGATCCCAATTGCGTGGATCGATGCTCATGGTGTCAATCACTGGATTGTACGGTTCAGACTCGATAATATTGGAATATTGCGGAGTGCGGCGCTAAACAACAAACAAACAAAACAATAACATCTAATCACAATGAAATTTCACATCATGCATGAACAGCATGTGATGCACGTGCACACAGAAGCCAAAGTATGTGCTCCTCTAGGGGTACACCCAATCACTTATGCAACTGATTTAAGAATACACTTAAAATTGGGTTATCAAAAGAGAATTCGGTACAATAACAGGAAGGCGAATTTCAACATATATCGTAAAAACCGCCTGCGTGCAAGGCGTCCTGTGAAGGGTGTAACCCTGTCAGCTTTGCATAGGCGGCAAAGATTAGGGTGAGCTAGGCAACACCAGTTTGGGGTGTGCGCCAAGGTTTTGCCTTCTATTCACAGATGGCAGGAAATGTTGTAAGAAACGTAGCAGCGAGCGGAGGCAGGGGCAATAATTGTTCAGTGAGTGAGTGAGTTGGGTTTAACGCCGATTTTAACAGTATTCAAGTTATATCACGGCGTGTCAGATTAATGTGGGAGGAAAGCCCGAAGTGATGCAGGTCTCAGACGTTTACTACTTCGGTGAAACCCACGAGCACGGGTATGGTGCTGACAAACCAAGAAAAATAATTGGGGCGAACCGGGATTCGAACCCACAATCATAGGTTTCTGGCGTGCCCAAGGGACGCAACTCTGCACAGCGGATCGCGGCGCCTTAGATGACTGGGCCACCCGTAACAATTCTTGACCATGATCAGTATGGGGACGGTATAACCCATTGCAGGCAAACTGATTTGGTTATTGCGAATGAACGTTTGATTCGCCAGCGCTGTATTGACGTAATTTTGCGTCCTGACGTTGTTTTATTCGGTAGAATTATCAGCAGATATTTTGAACTGCAAGATGACAATGCCAGACCACATCGTGCCCAGGTCGTCACCGATTATGTCCGACGAGAAGACATTCGGACATTGGACTGGCCCGCTAAGTCGTCTGACATCATGTCCCCAATTGCGCATCTCTGGAATCTTCTCGGACGGAGCGGTACGCCAGACTAATGGCCCAGCGGAATGGCGGGCAATAAATAGGGGCAAAGGGAGGGGTCCAAAATATCAAACAGGGGTGGGTGGGGGTCTACTACATGTATCGCCCAACATGGTAGACACACGATATATTAATCTACACGCCCGACATTATTTTTGCAGACATCGTCCTTACACCTTCACAATAATTTCATACATTCACGTACCTTTGTGTATATAATATATATGTCTGCTAAAACACAGGGGAAGTGCTGAATATTTCAAGAATACCCCACATACATATACAAAGCCTGTTTGTATTCTATCCTGGAGAAAGCGAACATTAGCATGAATAATACATAGCTTCTCACACTCGGACAGTACAGTGATCTCTGATTGGGAGGCGCAGTTTACTTATTGTGAAAACACTATACGCTTTGAAGCTTTTTATATATATCTATAAAAATCGTCTCATATTAGCCGTTTTCGCCAAATGCGGTGCCGTTTTCGCCAGAGAAATCGGTGACGTTTTGCTGAGGTGCCGTTTTAGCCTGCACCCCTCACAGGCATGCGTGACGTAAGAATAGATCTTTTGCGGCAGTTCCATGCTTATATACATGTATATACAAGGTCGTAGTTAAAAAAAATTGACAGGGGATGGGGGGTGGGGGCAAATATTTGTACAAGTATCACTTGTCCCCAACTTGTATTTTCATGATTCAAATAAAACTGTTTTCTATTAAACAAAATCCGGCTGGCTACGGCACTGATATATGAATATTGAATACATTCCAAAAGTGGTCCAGTTATCTCGGCCGCTTCGTGAGATCCTACCTGAAATTCGTTCCATTTGACAGTGTGATATTGTGAATCGATTGTCTGACATTGACACCTGTGTACCCAACACTCCTGTTTCGGGCTTGCCGCGTTCCTCCGTGTTCCCATGGTGCATTGCGTACAAACAATGATCAACACATTTCTCACACAGCACTGCGTTATAGAGCACAGAAAACGTTGGAGGAAATGGTTGATAAAATAAATGGGGGTGTCCTATGTCGCAATCGATTCAAGGTGTCGGAGGCTTGAAGAAACTGCTTTATCGCGTGCCCCGGTGCATTTCGGCACTGTTGTGCATCTATTAAAAAAATATAGGTAAATACACAACGACACAACAGACTAAATTTAGCCAGTGGTATTCATTATGTAGTAGAGCAGCTGCGTCCGAGGATCATGTCAAACATGACCAGGGTCTATTGTTATCCGTTTTATAGATGAATAAGAACTCCATGTAAATATATCGTCTTGATTTTAACGAAGTCAGACGGCAGTGATCACGTCTACACCCACTTTGAGTTCAGATACACAAACACTAACGCTCCATTGTATTAAAGAGTGTGCATGGGTGTATGTTGGTTAAAGTTCAGTCGCCAATACTCCTGCTACATCAGCAGTGAATCGAATCTGGACCAGACAAACCATTGAGAAATGAACATAAGCATCAAGGTTCTATCCTGGGAAGCCATTACACCTCAGAATTCCCACTGAGGTAAAGTGGCCGTCTTGTAGAGGGTTGTAGTGGTATTGTGCTGGTTTGTGTGGTTCAAGTGGAATACCAGGAAGACTGTCCCATCCTTCTGATCTAATTACACACTGCCAAGCAATGATGTATTCCTGCTCATCAGATGTACCTGCAGGTACCGACCTGTGCAGTTACTTTGCTTAACAGCTCATCACTTGTCATACGTTATTTATGTTGTAATAACCCCAGGCTTGCTGCCCTACAAGCAGGATTTCTCCCACATACTATCTAAAATCTTATTCTATGGTTAAATGAGAAGACTACAGAGCATGCCAAGCGTGAAAGAAGCCAATGACAATACCACAATGTAAATTGTCCCAGTAAAATATTAAACAGTAACTCATTAACACATCCAGTTTGGTACTCAAGTACTCGAAACATTACAGAAGCATGCTGTGTGATATTTCATTCTACGTATTATTCTATGTATTAGTTTGGTTTCTATCGAGTCAGGGATGAAAGCTCAAAGGGACCAATGTCATATTTGTTATAGCCAATGTATGAAATTGCAATTCACTTAAGCAATTAATAAAATGCCAAAATATTTGAGTCCTTTTTCAAAGTGACTCAAAAATCTGTCGATTATTTGACAGACTGTCTAAGAAATATTACGAAGTTCAAAAGGGCTTAAAAACACCGCAATAGACTAATTATGCTGGGAGAAGAAGCAAAAAGATAGAAATACTTTAGTCTGAACTTTTTCAGTCACTTGGTGATGAAATTAAACAACAAAATGTTCGGAACTTGTTATAATAAATGAAGGGAAAGATTTTTCAGACAATTTGTAAAAACTGAAATATTAAGACATTTTGTAAATTGCCTAAGTGAAAATTTCAGTCATTTTATACATTGACTGTAGTGAGCGAGTTTGGTTTTATGCCGCTTTTAGCAATATTCCAGCAATATCACGGCGGGGGACACCAGAAATGGGCTTCACATACATTGACTGTAACATGTACATATAGATATATATATATATATATAAACCTGACACAGAATGTAAATGATTTATTCCATATCTTTACAATGGTATGTACAGGATCAATGAGCTATGTTACAACAATGGAGTCGTGCAGGATGACAGGAGGTAAAATCCATACATGTCAATATGACATCGCAATGAACATGAAGATCAATGAATCAGCCAGGATGGAAGCCTGGTTCCTTCCCTATGCTGATGTGTGATGTCTATTTAATCCGATACCTGTTTATTATTACCTAGAGGATAGAAATACAGACATGACAAATTTAGGTGATTATAACTGACGTTCCCCTGTTGAAAAGATTATATTTAAAAACTTTTTCACATGAAATCTAAATACACACATGTGTATAGCTATTTCATAGAATAACTTTTGTCAGTGTTGTACTTGGCACATATGGATGTATTGTATCATGTTGTATGTTGTGCAGATACAAGCAAGCATAGGCATACAAGAATAAAACACCACAATAGCCTCTCTTATGCAAGTAACCAGTCATTTTACACATAGCTCTTCACTATGATTTAACCAAAATGAACCTATCCTATCTCTTATCAAGTTGTCTGGTCGTAGTTTGAGAAGGATTATTTAATCCTTACTGACCAAGCTATATAACGAAGTCTCATAATACACCAAGATCTTCCCTTCCTGGTTGTGTAAGAGCTGATACTTCAAAGTTGGATAATTCATAGTGTTTGTGAAAGTCCAACTATCAGATATCTCTTTGACATCAGTTTCAACAAGTGATACATGAAGCGCCACTGTAATGATGGCATGGCAACACCTCCTTCATGCACTACTACTACAGCGGCAGGGAATCGATCTTTGTGAACACATACAACATGAAGATGTCTTGAAAACTGCAAGTGTAGCAACAGTTCCATATCTGTCCTCTAGTCATGTTGAGCATGTGCTTCTGACACACTGGTGTTCCTGGTGAACAGAGTCACTTTCTCACACTCCTGTTTAAATGCATAAGCACACACAGTCACATTGGTTGGTTCAGGATATTCAGGGCAGATTCTGTCCCTGAAACACAGACAAAATAATGTCAGAATACGTGCTGTCATCAATATACACATGGCTACAAAGACAATAAATTTGACAAAGCCTAAAGTCCAAAAAGAAACTGTAATGTAACCACTCTTAGTCTGTCTGAAAATATAGGTATAGTCTGAACAGAAAATATAGTATAACCTGTCTGATATAAGGAGATGGTAACCATGCTGATTAGTGATTAGTTGATTACTTTTTGGCTAGTGAGGTGCCACCACAGGACCACCACCACCACCGCTTGGGAGCTGTCTAGTGTGGGTACACTTTAACAAGTTACCTCCCCTTGGACAGTGTGTAATGAACAATCAGAGATGGACTCAAGACAATGACTCCCTGTGTTTTCACAGTGTGGGGTCACCTCGGAAAAAATGACCTCCCCCTGAACAATGTGTAGTATACAATGACCCACTGTGTTTTCACCATGTGTCCAGCCTCACCTCAGAAAAAGTGACCTCCCGCTGGACTATGTGTAGTATACAATGACCCCCAGTGTTTTCACCGTGGGTCAGGCCTCACTTCAGAACAAGTGACCTCCCCCTGGACTGTGTGTAGTATACAATGACCCCCTGTGTTTTCACCATGTGTCCTGCGTCACCTCAGAACAAGTGACCTCCCCCTGGACAGTGTGTAGTATACAATGACCCCCAGTGTTTTCACCATGTGTCCGGCCTCACCTCAGAACAAGTGACCTCCCTCTGGACAGTGTGTAGTATACAATGACCCCCAGTGTTTTCACCATGTGTCCTGCGTCACCTCAGAACAAGTGACCTCCCCCTGGACAGTGTGTAGTATACATTGACCCCCAGTGTTTTCACCATGTGTCCGGCCTCACCTCAGAACAAGTGACCTCCCCCTGGACAGTGTGTAGTATACAATGACCCCAAGTGTTTTCACCATTGTGTGGCCTCACCTCAGTACAAGTGACCTCCCCTTGGACAGTGTGTAGTATACAATGACCCCCTGTGTTTTCACCATGTGTGTGGCCTCACCTCAGTACAAGTGACCTCCCCCTGAACAGTGTGTAGTATACAATGACCCCAAGTGTTTTCACCATTGTGTGGCCTCACCTCAGTAGAAGTGACCTCGCCTTGGACAGTGTGTAGTATACAATGACCCCCTGTGTTTTCACCATGTGTGTGGCCTCACCTCAGTACAAGTGACCTCCCCCTGGACAGTGTGTAGTATACAATGACCCCCAGTGTTTTCACCATGTGTCCAGCGTCACCTCAGAACAAGTGACCTCTCCCTGGACAGTGTGTAGTATACAATGACCCCCAGTGTTTTCACCATTGTGTTGCCTCACCTCAGTACAAGTGACCTCCCTTTGGACAGTGTGTAGTATACAATTACCCCCAGTGTTTTCATCATGTGTGTGGCCTCACCTCAGAACAAGTGACCTCCCCTTGGACAGTGTGTAGTATACAATGACCCCCAGTGTTTTCACCATGTGTGTGGCCTCACCTCAGTACAAGTGACCTCCCCCTGAACAGTGTGTAGTATATAATTACCCCCTGTGTTTTCATCATGTGTGTGGCCTCACCTCAGTACAAGTGACCTCTCCCTGGACAGTGTGTAGTATACAATGACCCCCAGTGTTTTCACCAACTGTCCGGCCTCACCTCAGTACAAGTGACCTCCCCCTGGACAGTGTGAGGTACACAATGTCCCCAAGTGTTTTCACCATGTGTGTGGCCTCACCTCAGAACAAGTGACCTCCCCTGAACAGTGTGTAGTATACAATGTCCCCAAGTGTTTTCACCATGTGTGTGGCCTCACCTCAGAACAAGTGACCTCCCCTGAACAGTGTGTAGTATACAATGACCCCCAGTGTTTTCACCATGTGTCCGGCGTCACGTCAGAACAAATGATCTCCCCGTGGACAGTGTGTAGTATACAATAACCCCCTGTGTTTTCACCATGTGTGTGGCCTCACCACAGTACAAGTGACCTCCCGCTGGACTATGTGTAGTATACAATGACCAACAGTGTTTTCACCATGTGTGTGGCGTCACCTCCCCCTGGACTGTGTGTAGAATACAATGACCCCCAGTGTTTTCATCATGTGTCCGGCGTCACCTCAGAACAAGTGACCTCTCCCTGGACAGTGTGTAGTATACAATGACCCCCAGTGTTTTCACCATGTGTCCGGCGTCACCTCAGAACAAGTGACCTCTCCCTGGACAGTGTGTAGAATACAATGACCCCCAGTGTTTTCACCATGTGTGTGGCCTCACCTCAGTACAAGGGACCTCCCCCTGGACTATGTGTAGTATACAATGACTCTTGTGTTTTCACCATGTGTGTGGCCTCACCTCAGAACAAGTCCTCCATCTCCTTCATGAACTGATCATAAGCATCGTCCTTGGTTTTGGTTTGTGCTGCGGCCACAGGTGTCGGTACAGAGGATGTGCCGGTAGATCGCTTCTCTTCCTCCTTGCCTGTAACAGATGCTATTTTATGAAGAGTTTTCAAAAACAATAATGTAATATATTGATGCCGCCACCCTAGGAATAGTATGTTTTCAAGTATGATTTTTATCAAAATTAAATTAAATCACCTTAAGTAAAACAAGTTTTCAAACAATGATAGAAACATCAAAATGTACTAAGCTTGTCAGACATTACTGATACAAGAACATTGTCTTTATTACATCACAAAATCACCAAGTTGTTTGCACTATAACATTAAGTAGTGTTTGTAAAATAGCCACAAAAATTACACAATTCTATTTCCTAGTCTAGGAATTGCTAACCAGTTGTTTTGATTCTCCCCTTGACATCCTTGATCCCTCTCTTGACCTTGAGTGCCGTGGGCATGAACCTTGTAACATCCCCCAGAACATTCTTTATCTGTGGTTTGGCCTCGATGGTGGCTGTGTTCTTCTTCTCCTCGTCTGCAGACTTGAGAGGGGGTTTCATGATGCTTGGTGGGGCACTTAGAACATTGGGGTTCATTGGGGGCGCCATCCCTGGGGGAAGGGGGATACCAGGAGGGGGGATGCCAGGCGGTGCTCCAGGAGGCCGCATCATCCGTGGGGGGCCTACACCTACAACAGAAGGAAGGGAAGATTCCTTACATGTGTTCCTTGGAGTATTCAACACTACTGTTTCAATGTCTTCTTAAAAATATTTTGACACATGAATCCTGTTAGGCAGACATAGTCCCCCATCTTACCTGGATGACCTGGATGAAGGCGTGGCCCTACACCTCGTAGACTTGGTGGCAGGCCTGGAGGAGGGCCTGGGGGTAGACCCTGAGGTCTGCCAGGTGGGGGTCCTGGAGGTAACATCCGGGGTGGGGCCCCAGGGGGTGCTCCTCGCAGTGGTGGGGGACGCATGAACATGGGTGGAGCCCCGGGAGGTGGTCCTGTAAGCATCACAAGATAGAGGAAACTGTACAGCAGTCAGTATCACAGCAACTACTGCTGACAAAATAACAATTCAAACTAATGCTTATCATAATGATAAGAAACTGAAATATGAGTGGGCAATTTTGTCTCAAAACACAGACTTGAGCTGATTTTGTGATACTGTCTCTAGTCACTCACCAGGAGGAACGCCTGGGGGCACACCAGGCGGAGCACCAGGTGGAGCTCCAGGGGGGGCACCAGGAGGGGCACCAGGAGGGGCACCAGGTGCTGTATGAGCTGGGGGGCCAGGTGGGATCTTCGGAGGAGGCACAGGTATACCAGGGGGGTCTACTGGCTCATCCTGGGTGCCTGGTGCCTTCATCTCTTCATTTGGGTCATATCGAATTGGCTGCTTCTGAGGCATGGGCAGATCATCTTCATTTTCCTGTACAGATGAAGAAAGTGTTTATGCAACAAACAGATACAAAAGAATAGAATAAAAATATGCAATGAGTTACAGTCCCTGCCGAGAGCTGAAGCAGAATATTTCAACTTATACCCAAGCTTGTTGGAAGAACCTACGAATGTCTGACCTACGAAGTAAATGACCAGTGTGGAACATTGCTCAGTCTGTCAACTACTGTCCTAACCTGGTTACTTACAGTTTACCAGGATATAGCTGAATCCTCATTCAGTTCTACTTTGGAGCAGAACCTCTTTCACAAACCACACATGGACGAAGTAACCATCAAATAAAACCAACAGAGTAGTGGATTCTTAAGCTCAGGTCTCTCTAATGAAAGTTTCCAAATGAGGAGTTAAGATGCAGTTGATAGACAGGTTATCTGTTGAAACCTACAGCAACATGTCATGTTGCGTGAATACCACTTATGGTATGTTGTAACTGTGATATATTGGGAGTTATCTCCCTTGGATAAATGCGCCGTAAGTCGGTAGCCATTAAAGTGAGTTGTCTAAAAGACACACATCTCTGTCTCATGACTATATTACGTGGCATAGAGCACGTAACATGTCACATGCCAACTTTCATCATTAGTGGACAAATAGCCCCAAGAGGCTTTTTAAATATGATTTTCATGTAAATCCAAATATACTAAAGAATAAGATGGTGAAGATGTGAGCACATTATAGCAGGGAGAGTGTATCAAAGTGAAACAGATTTCTGTGCAGGGGACAGACTTTTAATAGTGTAAAAAGTATGTCTGCACAGCTATTTTCCTGATAACTGAAAACCAAGAAAACATGTTCCATCTCAACTGATTCACAGGCACTTGATGCAATAGATTTGCTATTATTTTGTACCTAGAAGTACCAGTATAAATCAAGTTTGATTGATAGAAATTGCCTGTGAATGTAAATTAAATTAAATCATTTATATGTGAAGAAACAACAGAAAGCAATCTGATCCCTCGTCATCCCTACTACTCCACCAGACCTCCCTGTGCAAGCTACTGACCTCGTCCTCACTGTCCTCCTTCTCAGCCTGGTCCATGTGCCCCTCGTCCTCTGGCACCTCCTGCCCTGCCATCATCAACATCCGGGCCTGAAGCGGCGACACCTTAGATTTAGACTTGGAGGACAGTCGCAGTCTGGTGTCTTTCTCAACTTCATTGAGGTCTTTTGTGTCGTCATCCTCAAACCGGATTCTACGAAGTTTAGCTGTCAAAGGCAAATGGACAGATGTTAACATCTATGATAATGTGTCTCAATCAGTACAGAAGCCATTCAACACCATGCATTAACTTACAACAAAACCATGTTTACTCAGACTATTTAGGGCCAGGGAAATGTAGAAGCTGGAGACAACCAGGAGGAGCAGAATTGGAGACAAGTGGAGTGGTGATCTTGGACATATGCATGTAGGCTGATTACACACAAGCTGACAGTGTCATGTAGCCACACCTACTCCTATATTTGTTCCATACATATTGTTGATTGGTATACCTGGTCAAAGTAACAACTGTGGCCTAGATATTGTGTACACGATGGACACTATCGGAAGAACATGAACAAACCCATCCCTCTTCATACACTGACAAACTGACAACTCGGAGCAGTCAACATATGAAGGGAGATTACCTTCATCACAGGAGGAGCCTTGCTTTCTTGGCTGATTACTATCCCTGTGTAATGACTGAAATCCCACTGCAATCTAAACTGCATGTGAAGCTAGTGATGAGCATGTATCCAGTCACTGGATGATGACAAGTACACATGCTACATGTCAAAATGACCATATAGGTCAGTGCTCCAGATAATTTATCAACCATAAGAGTACAGTACTGATCATTACCAGAACTGATGAGAACCGGACATAGTTTTTCAAACAAGTACCGTACTGCTCGTTTGTAAAATTTATGAGTACTGGTATTATAAAATAGTTAAACAAGTACTGCAATTTAACATATGCTGTCTTCCTGTCCTGCCTACCAGTACATGATTAATCAGGTCATTAAAAATTTGTGTGACCATCTCTGGGTGAATTTGTGTGCCTATTAGTTTGGAAAAGATTTGTCAGCACACTTTGCGTCCCATAGTTCAGAGACCTTGTGTTGTACATTCAGATTTGGGTGTCAAACTAATGAAAGCATAACCGAGATGACAAAAATATGCGTGTGTTATTATTAGCCAATCACAATGCAGGATTGGGAAGAAATCCATTTGCTGTTGACTCGAAATGACATATTTCCCGTTTATGTGGAAGAGAATGAAGTTTACCGGTAACAATGTTTTGAAGAACAATTTTTTAGAATAAAAAGATAAGTAGTAATTACAATTAATTATGAGAGCATATGATCTTGTTTGCCAGCGTATTTGGTACAGTTGTAACTTGCAATCAAGCCGTGATTGACTATCTGGAGCAGTGTATGTTAATGTCGAGGATCAGCTCGATCACATATCTGACATTGACTAAGCAAAATCAAATAATGAAAAACAAAGAAAGGTTAAGCCAGGACAGTGGTCTCATATGGTCTTAAAATACATGACAAGTTTAACCCCCCTGGATGCCACAGGGACATATATGTCCCTCCTCTTCAACCCTCACTTTGAAGTCGAATAAAATTTAAAAAAACATCACCCACACAAATACACTTCACAGTTTTGAATAAGGTGGGAAATTTTTACAAACCTGTAGAGGTTATGAATTCTCTGATGAAATCCTCCTTGGGGCACTTATTGCATTTTCCTGGCTCAAGAAAATCTACATGACATAGTTGTAACCATTTTTCCTTAATAAAAATGTTACCACACAAAAAACTTCGTTTTAGTATGATATACGACCACCCTTACGGTGCCTCACCCTCCACGGCGCGTCACGCCAGGGGAAGCAACTCTCACCCAAATCACTTTCCATATGTCTAATGCTGACGGAATGTGGGGAGGTGATCCAACGAGGATTTCATCAGAGAATTCATAACCTCTACAGGTTTGTAAAATTCTCTTTCAGATTAAATCCTCCATGGGGCACTTATTGCATCAAGACAGACTCCTAAAGATAATCTAGGAAGTGGCATCCGTCAGCAACAAGCATAATAAATACATCGTTTTTTGAATATTCAGTGAATAAACAAGAGTTCAATAAATGGAACCAACCTTATGGCGGGGGCTAGAGACAGGGCGTGGTCGACCATATACTATGAAATTAGCCGTTATTCATTGCTGATCATATTTGAGAACTCGAACCCCCCCACACACTTTTTGGTACGAGTGATATAGGGGCCTAGATCACGAGAGACTATAACCGCGCTGAGCTAAGCCAGAGGATCTCCGAGGATCTGAGGAGTGCGTGTGCAAAACGAGTATTATCGAGTAGTATGGACGGATAATTTATCGACCGTAGAAGATAGAATCCGGACCGTTACTGAGCAGTTTTATAACCGGTCAGGGCGATCTAAAATCTCGAAGGCTCAATCGGCTAGAGATGCAGAACTTTGCCCAGTTCAGAGAACTGACTGACCAAACCGAGCACGCTCGCTTGAGTGTTTGTCGAGTTGGTAATGTTTGATGAACGTGCTCGGCTGGCTCAAAATAGCCGCGGAGCAGATCTCCTCAATGGGAAGAGCCACGGCGTACGCTTGTGACGTAGTTGGTTATCCTTACGGATACCCTTAGTTCTGCTGATATAGGCCTTGAGGGTCCTGCGGACATCCAAGACATGAGCATGTCTTGCAGTGGTCCCCGACGAGGAAGGCTGTGAAAGAGCAGGTAGCTCAATAGGAGCCGTCACTTGGAAGGCGTGTGCGACCTTAGGACGGTAAGAATCCGGCAGCCGAATACTGACCCTGTCCCGGTGGAAGACAGTTAGCTCGGGATCGGCTGACATTGCGTGAATGTCGCCTACCCGTCTGCCGGACGTTACCGCCACAAGGAACGCCGTCTTCCAGCTCAACAGCTTAAGAGAGAGAGACGACAGATCCTGAAAGGAAGGACCGGACAGCCAATCAAGAATGATTGACAAGTCCCAAGGGGGACTGATCCGCCGTACAGGTGGTTGGATCCTGTCCACACCTGCTAAAAAACGCTTTACTAATGGGTGCGCACCCAGAAGTGCCCCGTCGACAGGGACGTGAAAAGCTGCGATAGCTGTAGAGTACCCCCCGACTGTCAATGCAGCCAGGCCGTCATCTAGTCGCGACTGGAGGAACTCAAGCACGGCTACGAGATCTGCAGAAAAGGGATCTGCAATCCCTCTATCGACACACCAGCACGCATAGCAGGCCCATCTATCCTCATACTGAACGTTTGTCGAATCCCTCCGCGAAGCCAGTATTGTGTCTGCAACTCGTGCAGGAATACCGCTCTTCTGGAGGCAATTCCTGACAGTGGCCAAGCCACCCACTGAATCCTGGGATTCGGGTGGAGGGCCCCGTTCTGGGATAGGAGGTCGGGTCGTAAAGGTAATAGAACAGGAGGCTGAGCTAGAAACCTGAGTTTTACAGGAAACCAGCTCTGCGCCGACCAAAGAGGTGCCAGGAGCACAAGTAGTCGCGCAGGCTGAGTGGCTAGCTAAGACAGGACCTTGGGGATCAGAGGTACTGGGGGGAATGCCCACAGTATTCTGTCCGTCCAATCTAGCTGGAAGGCATCCGGTGCCACTGACCTCGGGTCGGGGACTCGGGAACAGAACGTTGGTGTCTGGTGATTCACCCCAGACGCAATCAGATCCACATGGAACAACCCGTATAATTGGGAGATAATCCCGAATATCCCTGGGTCGAGCCTCCACTCATGAGGAGCGAGGATCCGGCGAGACAGACGTTGTACACCCCCGTGAGATAAACAGGTATCACCCTGATATCGTGTGAGTCGCACCATAGGAGGAACTGCCACGCCTCTTGGAGAAGCGACGGTGACACGTTCCCCCCTGCTTCCGGATGTAAGTCATCGCCGTTTGGTTGTCCATCTCTAGACGAACCACTTGGCCAGGAAGCGTTGGAACACCAACCTGACCGCTCTCGGTTCTAGCATATTGATATGCAGTTTGATCTCCTGCTGGGACCATAGTCCCGAGGCTGTGTGATCGTTCAGAACGCCTCCCCAGCCGGAGAGTGACGCGTCTGTTTGAACTGTAAGAGACGGAACGGGAGTGTCGAGGGGGAGCCCCCGGGACAGATTCCCGACCTTGGTCCACCACTGAAGGTGTGTAATGAGCCACTGCGGAGTCTCGAGAACAGTCTCGAGATCTTCCGAGTTCACCCAAAGTTGACGGAGCGCTTGTTGAATGGGTCTCATTCCCAAGCGCGCCCGCCAAACCACATGTTGCCCAGTAACTGGAGCCATGTACGAGCAGTGTGTCTCATGGACAGAAGAGTGATAGAGATACAAGTCCGCTCACTGTGTTGAGGTTCGCCCCTAAGAAGACAAGATTCTGAGTAGGGCTCAGCTCTGACTTCTTGAGATTAACTATCCACCCTAGAGTGATCAGAATGTCTAACACAGCTTGTGTAGCTATCTTACTGAGGGATTGCGATAGAGCTCTTAGTAACCAGTCGTCAAGGTACGGGTGGCAGAACCGGCCTTTCGACCTGGCCACTTGGGCAGGAATCAACATCAGCTTGGTGAACACCCTCGGGGTCGTGGCGATCCTGAATGGTAGAACCCTGAACTGATAACACCTCCAGTCTAAAGAAAACCTGAGGTATTTATTGAACTCGAGGTGTATGGGTACATGGAGATAGGCGTCTTTCAGGTCTATTGACGTTAGCCATTCTCCTGTCTCGGCCGCTGAGATCACTGAGCGCAGTGTCTCAATCCGGAAGGACGGTACCTCTATAAGATTGTTCAGCCTTCTCAGATTGAGAATAGGTCTGAACCCCTCGTCTTTTTTGGTGACTAGGAAATATGTCGAGTAGAAGCCCTCACTTTACTGTCCCATCGGAACCGGTTCAATCGCCGCCTTCATCTGAAGTGCATCGACCTCGGCACGGAGGAATTCCGCCTTCTCTCGGGTAGCAGGCACCGGAGTGTGCTTTATCCCAGAGAAGGGGGGCGGATGATGTTTCCACCGAGGCAAGTGGCCATCCCTTAAAGTGGACAGGGTCCAGGGATTTGATGTGACTGTCTCCCATTCCCTCAGGAATAGAGCCAGTCAGCCGCCTACGGGGACATCCGGCTTGAGGCAGTGGACCCCTGCTGTCTGCAGTTTGATAAATTGCGACTGTGGGTCCGCCCGTGGCACTTTGGGTGCTAATGGGAACCCGATGGGTTCCCGGCCCCGCGAAAAGGCTGCTGGCCTCGACCAGCTGCCTTGCCCCGCCCGGCGCCCTTACCTGAAGGAAGCGGCTGCTTCCAAGCAGGTGCGGACTTCTGAGCCGGCGCGTCAGCGTAGGAGGAGTCAAGCGGAGAGGCCCGCTTACGCGGTTTGACGATCGGTATCTCTATTACCTCATTTTTATAAAGTACGATTTCATCAGTTCTTATGGGTTTTTTTAATAACTAAACGTATACAGTTTCTTTATCGATATTTGTGTTGGAATAGTTTGGTTCCTCGTGAACAAAACGCCACAAAAATATATTATCCTTACCCACAGCTAATTCTCACCAAGTGACCTGAGTTACAATAAACTAGTGCTAAGCATAGCAGAGTTATGCCCCCTTTTCTTTGTACGTGTGTTACCTCTCTGTCGCCTTTTGACGTCATAGAGAAAAATCAGTTTTCGTCATTTACGGCATGCTATTTTTTACATTGAATGTATGTCGTTATACATACACATATAACTCCATTTGATATATAGTTATGTTGTTCAGATATTAGGCAGTATTTTGTTTGCTCAGTTTCCGTAAAGCTTCTAAATAAAAAAAATTGTCACACAGTACTTTTATCGGTGTACGATAAAAAGCGGAGAAATTTACTGTTTTTCAACGCAGAATAAATTCTCGGACAACACTTAGAAGTGTTTAATATCTGCAGTTAACTTTACACCATCAAATAGGAAATTTAATATTCTCCACCTCTGCTTAATTTTATAGCCAGAGGTTTATCCAGAGGGTTAATGCGAAGCTAACACAGGTGATGCCAACGTTTTCCTATTGAAATTATATTCTAATCTATTCTGAAACATCCACACTTTAGTTTACAGATAAATGCTACCAGATGAGTGAGTGAGTGAGTGAGTGAGTGAGTGAGTGAGTGAGTGAGTGAGTGAGTGAGTGAGTGAGTGAGTGAGTGAGTGAGTGAGTGAGTGAGTGAGTGAGGTTCTACGCCACTTTTAGCAATATTCCAGCAATATCATGGCGGGAGACACCAGAAATGGGCTTCACACATTGCCCCCATGTCGGGAATCGAACCCTGGTCTTCAGCGTCACGAGTAAACGCTTAACCACTACTGCCCCTCTGCCTTACAAGATGTATGTCATTAAGTTTGGCAGTACATTCTGTTGCCATGGTTGCTGTTTGTAGTTGAATATTGTTAATTTTTAATCTATCCAAAATACAGAGACAAAATATACAGTAAACCTGAATTATTTGTATCAGTTATGTCCAGCTGCAGATTATCCTGAAACCTACAAATGTGTGTCATGGTCGATGTCAGATGACCTCACACCTACCTGGTGGTTCTTCCCTGGTTCTGAAGTCTGGTGGAGCTGTGGCTGTTACTCCAGCCGGTATCACGTCCCCGGGGGGTGCCACTTGTCCCGGCATCGGAATACCCACCTCCTCCAGCATCTCATGGGCATGGGCGTGAATATGTTCCATATCCACATCCACCGTCCCGATGTTCTCCTCTATCCCTGCAATGCAACAGAGACATAAGGACACTGTGAAACATTCTCAAATGGAGCTTACATTGACTTTTTGTATTTACAATTCATGTAAATATTTTCCAAATGTTTGGATACCGTCTTCATAAATGTGCATTAGATATCATCCTCGATATGAATTTAGATTTGGAAACCTTTCCTATTACAAGTGTTTCTTGGCAAATGTAGACTTGGAGTAACGACACAAGTGCTACAGAAAAAAACACGGCTCCAAAAGAATATTCATTTAAAACAAAGCATGTAATTAATTTTTCACACCATAATATAGCAGATATCCAGCCAGTTACTGTCCTTTCATTTCTTACCAAGGTTAACATGGTCAATGATGAAAAGACAGACTTTTAATATTTTTCACTAGGAGGACAACATTGAGCTTTGAAAGCTGCTTTTTAAGGAGGTGTGAATCTGTCACCTTTAGCTGGGTCATATTCCTCATCTTCACTGTCACTCAGCTCCGGTGGGGGACCAGGAGGGGGACCAGGGATGTTCTTCCTCTTCCTGGCAAAGTACTCCTCCTGAATGCTGAAACACAGCCGCATCAGGTCAGTAGTTTCCTCGTGCACCCCCTTCCCCCCGAAACCGCTATATAACAACTAGAAATACAGCACTGAATCCTGAAACACAGCCGCATCAGGTCAGTAGTTTCCTCGAGCACCCCCTTCCCCCTAACACCGCTATATAACGGCTAGAAATACAACACTGAATGCTGAAACACAGCCGCATCAGGTCAGTAGTTTCCTCGTGCACCCCCTTCCCCCCGAAACCGCTATATAACAACTAGAAATACAGCACTGAATCCTGAAACACAGCCGCATCAGGTCAGTAGTTTCCTCGAGCACCCCCTTCCCCCTAACACCGCTATATAACGGCTAGAAATACAACACTGAATGCTGAAACACAGCCGCATCAGGCCAGTAGTTTCCTCGAGCACCCCCTTCCCCCTAACACCGCTATATAACCGCTAGAAATACAGCACTGAAAGCTGAAACACAGCCACATCAGGTCAGTAGTTTCCTCAAGCACCCCCTTCCCCCTAACACCGCTATATAACGGCTAGAAATACAACACTGAATGCTGAAACACAGCTGCATCAGGCCAGTAGTTTCCTCGTGCACCCCCTTCCCCCCAACACCGCTATAAAACAACTAGAAATACAGCACTGAATGCTGAAACACAGCCGCATCAGGTCAGTAGTTTCCTCGTGCACCCCCTTCCCCCCAACACTGCTATATAACGGCTAGAAATACAGCACTGAATGCTGAAACACAGCCGCATCAGGTCAGTAGTTTCCTCGAGCACCCCCTTCCCCCCAACACCGCTATATAACGGCTAGAAATACAACACTGAATGCTGAAACACAGCCGCATCAGGTCAGTAGTTTCCTCAAGCACCCCCTTCCCCCCAACACTGCTATAAAACAACTAGAAATACAGCACTGAATGCTGAAACACAGCCACATCAGGCCAGTAGTTTCCTCGTGCACCCCCTTCCCCCCAACACCGCTATAAAACAACTAGAAATACAGCACTGAATGCTGAAACACAGCCGCATCAGGTCAGTAGTTTCCTCAAGCACCCCCTTCCCCCTAACACCGCTATATAACGGCAAGAAATACAGCACTGAATGCTGAAACACAGCCGCATCAGGTCAGTAGTTTCCTCGTGCACCCCCTTCCCCCCAACACCGCTATATAACCGCCAGAAATACAGCACTGAATGCTGAAACACAGCCGCATCAGGTCAGTAGTTTCCTCAAGCACCCCCTTCCCCCTAACACCGCTATATAACAACTAGAAATACAGCACTGAATGCTGAAACACAGCCGCATCAGGCCAGTAGTTTCCTCGAGCACCCCCTTCCCCCTAACACCGCTATATAACTGCCAGAAATACAGCACTGAATGCTGAAACACAGCCGCATCAGGCCAGTAGTTTCCTCGTGCACCCCCTTCCCCCTAACACCGCTATATAACGGCTAGAAATACAGCACAGAATGCTGAAACACAGCCGCATCAGGTCAGTAGTTTCCTCGTGCACCCCCTTCCCCCCAACACTGCTATATAACGCCTAGAAATACAACACAGAATGCTGAAACACAGCCGCATCAGGTCAGTAGTTTCCTCGAGCACCCCCTCCCCCCTAACACCGCTATATAACAACTAGAAATACAGCACTGAATGCTGAAACACAGCCGCATCAGGTCAGTAGTTTCCTCGAGCACCCCCTTCCCCCTAACACCGCTATATAACAACTAGAAATACAGCACTGAATGCTGAAACACAGCCGCATCAGGTCAGTAGTTTCCTCGTGCACCCCCTTCCCCCCAACACCGCTATAAAACAACTAGAAATACAGCACTGAATGCTGAAACACAGCCGCATCAGGTCAGTAGTTTCCTCAAGCACCCCCTTCCCCCCAACACCGCTATATAACGGCTAGAAATACAGCACAGAATGCTGAAACACAGCTGCATCAGGCCAGTAGTTTCCTCGAGCACCCCCTTCCCCCCAACACCGCTATATAACGGCTAGAAATACAGCACTGAATGCTGAAACACAGCCGCATCAGGTCAGTAGTTTCCTCGAGCACCCCCTTCCCCCCAACACCGCTATATAACGGCTAGAAATACAGCACAGAATGCTGAAACACAGCTGCATCAGGCCAGTAGTTTCCTCGAGCACCCCCTTCCCCCCAACACCGCTATATAACAACTAGAAATACAGCACTGAATGCTGAAACACAGCCGCATCAGGTCAGTAGTTTCCTCGAGCACCCCCTTCCCCCCAACACCGCTATATAACGGCTAGAAATACAGCACAGAATGCTGAAACACAGCCGCATCAGGTCAGTAGTTTCCTCGTGCACCCCCTTCCCCCCAACACCGCTATATAACCGCCAGAAATACAGCACTGAATGCTGAAACACAGCCGCATCAGGTCAGTAGTTTCCTCAAGCACCCCCTTCCCCCTAACACCGCTATATAACAACTAGAAATACAGCACTGAATGCTGAAACACAGCCGCATCAGGTCAGTAGTTTCCTCGTGCACCCCCTTCCCCCCAACACCGCTATAAAACAACTAGAAATACAGCACTGAATGCTGAAACACAGCCGCATCAGGTCAGTAGTTTCCTCGAGCACCCCCTTCCCCCTAACACCGCTATATAACTGCCAGAAATACAGCACTGAATGCTGAAACACAGCCGCATCAGGCCAGTAGTTTCCTCGTGCACCCCCTTCCCCCTAACACCGCTATATAACGGCTAGAAATACAGCACAGAATGCTGAAACACAGCCGCATCAGGTCAGTAGTTTCCTCGTGCACCCCCTTCCCCCCAACACTGCTATATAACGGCTAGAAATACAACACAGAATGCTGAAACACAGCCGCATCAGGTCAGTAGTTTCCTCGAGCACCCCCTCCCCCCTAACACCGCTATATAACAACTAGAAATACAGCACAGAATCCTGAAACACAGCCGCATCAGGTCAGTAGTTTCCTCGAGCACCCCCTTCCCCCTAACACCGCTATATAACAACTAGAAATACAGCACTGAATGCTGAAACACAGCCGCATCAGGTCAGTAGTTTCCTCGTGCACCCCCTTCCCCCCAACACCGCTATAAAACAACTAGAAATACAGCACTGAATGCTGAAACACAGCCGCATCAGGTCAGTAGTTTCCTCAAGCACCCCCTTCCCCCCAACACCGCTATATAACGGCTAGAAATACAGCACAGAATGCTGAAACACAGCTGCATCAGGCCAGTAGTTTCCTCGAGCACCCCCTTCCCCCCAACACCGCTATATAACGGCTAGAAATACAGCACTGATACTGAAACACAGCCGCATCAGGTCAGTAGTTCCCTCGAGCACCCCCTTCCCCCCAACACCGCTATATAACGGCTAGAAATACAGCACTGAATGCTGAAACACAGCCGCATCAGTTGAGTAGTTTCCTCGAGCACCCCCTTCCCCCCAACACCGCTATATAACAACTAGAAATACAGCACTGAATGCTGAAACACAGCCGCATCAGGTCAGTAGTTTCCTCGAGCACCCCCTTCCCCCCAACACCGCTATATAACTGCCAGAAATACAGCACTGAATGCTGAAACACAGCCGCATCAGGCCAGTAGTTTCCTCGTGCACCCCCTTCCCCCCAACACCGCTATATAACGGCTAGAAATACAGCACAGAATGCTGAAACACAGCCGCATCAGGTCAGTAGTTTCCTCGTGCACCCCCTTCCCCCCAACACTGCTATATAACAACTAGAAATACAACACAGAATGCTGAAACACAGCCGCATCAGGTCAGTAGTTTCCTCGAGCACCCCCTTCCCCCTAACACCGCTATATAACAACTAGAAATACAGCACTGAATGCTGAAACACAGCCGCATCAGGTCAGTAGTTCCCTCGAGCACCCCCTTCCCCCTAACACCGCTATATAACAACTAGAAATACAGCACTGAATGCTGAAACACAGCCGCATCAGGTCAGTAGTTTCCTCGAGCACCCCCTTCCCCCCAACACCGCTATATAACAACTAGAAATACAGCACTGAATGCTGAAACACAGCCGCATCAGGTCAGTAGTTTCCTCAAGCACCCCCTTCCCCCTAACACCGCTATATAACGGCAAGAAATACAGCACTGAATGCTGAAACACAGCCGCATCAGGTCAGTAGTTTCCTCAAGCACCCCCTTCCCCCCAACACCGCTATATAACGGCTAGAAATACAGCACAGAATGCTTAAACACAGCTGCATCAGGCCAGTAGTTCCCTCGAGCACCCCCTTCCCCCCAACACCGCTATATAACGGCTAGAAATACAGCACTGAATGCTGAAACACAGCCGCATCAGGTCAGTAGTTTCCTCGAGCACCCCCTTCCCCCCAACAACGCTATATAACGGCTAGAAATACAGCACAGAATGCTGAAACACAGCTGCATCAGGCCAGTAGTTTCCTCGAGTACCCCCTTCCCCCCAACACCGCTATATAACGGCTAGAAATACAGCACAGAATGCTGAAACACAGCTGCATCAGGTCAGTAGTTTCCTCAAGCACCCCCTTCCCCCCAACACCGCTATATAACAACTAGAAATACAGCACTGAATGCTGAAACACAGCCGCATCAGTTGAGTAGTTTCCTCGAGCACCCCCTTCCCCCCAACACCGCTATAAAACAACTAGAAATACAGCACAGAATGCTGAAACACAGCCGCATCAGGTCAGTAGTTTCCTCAAGCACCCCCTTCCCCCTAACACTGCTATATAACAACTAGAAATACAGCACTGAATGCTGAAACACAGCCGCATCAGGTCAGTAGTTTCCTCAAGCACCCCCTTCCCCCTAACACTGCTATATAACAACTAGAAATACAGCACTGAATGCTGAAACACAGCCGCATCAGGTCAGTAGTTTCCTCGAGCACCCCCTTCCCCCCAACACCGCTATATAACGGCTAGAAATACAGCACTGAATGCTGAAACACAGCCGCATCAGGTCAGTAGTTTCCTCAAGCACCCCCTTCCCCCCAACACCGCTATATAACGGCTAGAGGTACAGCACAAAGACAACAATGTCAGTTAGCATGTCTTCTTACCCAGTGTATGCGGAGGTCTTCTTCAGGATCCCGATTGGAGGTCGGTCCGGGAAAGGGAGGGGCATTTCATTGGGGAGTGGGATCATGGAGGGGACTGAAACATGGACCATACAGCATTAGTGACACATTCCTGCCCAGAACATGCAGCAGCCAGGGCTGCAGCTGACAGGTACAACTGTTTCCAAATGAACACATGAAGGGACAGCATGGATGTTGATCCATCACAACTAACATCCTCGACAAACATAGCAGATCATTATAGACATGTAGAATGATTGAACATACTTTAAATAATGTCTCCCACAATCATTATTTATTTGGAATAGCAGATGCTTGCCATAACCAAGACTTATGAAGAAGGACTAATACATACTCTCAAGTTCTAAAACAAACCCTATCACTTGAACAGTATTGTAATCCTGAAATCCAAAGAGGGGAATAAATTATGTTTAGGTAGAACAGATAACAGATCCAATCCCTATCAACATGGAAGATGCTGTTACTTACTGGGTGTCTCCACGGGCATATCGGGCAGGGGGATCTGATCAAGCTGCACTCTCTCTGCATTCTTCACTTGCTCTGAAATATACATCCACTTCCTGTCATTGAAATATAGTATCCAGTTATATTACACTCACCACAATCAGTAAATAAATAAAGATCCAATCACTTTAACCCCTGCATACGCCAAACACAATGTTCTGTGGGGATGTTACTTCAAGATAAGAACATGCATACTAGGGCTGGGACGGGTATCTCGGGTACTCAGGTCGGGTGGGTACTGAGTAGGACCCGGGTACCCACAGGACTATCCGGACCCGTGGTTAGTCACGTGATATATTGTTTAATGACAAAAATTATCTGGAACTCTATAGTTACAGTACAAGTCACTAATGTTCGCATTTCTTTCTGACTATGCACCCATTCCTTCTGATTTTTCATATGGTTGAATAAAGATATAACTTCATTCAACTTCAGTGTATGAATGACCGGATTGTTTTATACATTTATCTAAATATGTTTTCCCAAACGGACATTTTGAGACATCTCCTGAGACCTACAGTTGGTACGGGGGTAGGGTCAGATAATAGGGGGGTTGGTACCCGGGTAGTAAATTTGGACTCTTCCCAGCCCTAATGTATACAACATGACACAGAAACAGGTTGTATGCAATACACAGCAATCATCAGTAAGATGAAAATGTGACAAAGTGAGACTGTAGGCCATCTTTCGGAGGCAAAGGAGTTAACTGACCATAAAAGTTTAGTTTCCACCCTTGCCAAACTAGGCTGGAATTCCGCAGTTAAATTTTGGCTTGACTAATGAGTCCATGCATAGTCCAATCAAAATCGAGTAACGAAAGTAGACATCCCATTTGTAAACAAAATGGATTTCAACGTGCAGATTTCGTTCCACTGCAAGATTTATAAAGCATGTGTACTGTCAACTGGGCTTCGACAGATATTTTGCTAATCTTTTCGTGGTTTTTAATCCAGGTGATGAAGGTATTTGATACACATCGCAGGGTAAGATCTGTTTTATGAAATATAGATCTGATTATCAATCACATCTTCTCTACTGACATCTGACACCTGATACTGTCTGCCCACCTACACAGGTACAGCTGTACTACAAGGCTGACACCTGGTACTGTCTATCTGCCCACCTACACAAGTACAGCTGTACTACAAGGCTGACACCTAGTACTGTCTATCTGCCCACCTACACAAGTACGGCTGTACTACAAGGCTGACACCTGGTACTGTCTATCTGCCCACCTACAGAGGTACAGCTGTACTACAAGGCTGACACCTGGTACTGTCTATCTGCCCACCTACACAAGTACAGCTGTACTACAAGGCTGACACCTGGTACTGTCTATCTGCCCACCTAAACAAGTACAGCTGTACTACAAGGCTGACACCTGGTACTGACTATCTGCCCACTAACTCAGGTACAGCTGTACTACAGGCTGACACCTGATACTGTCTGCCCACCTACACAAGTACAGCTGTACTACAAGGCTGACACCTGGTACTGTCTATCTGCCCACCTACACAAGTACAGCTGTACTACAAGGCTGACACCTGGTACTGTCTATCTGCACATCAACACAGGTACAGCTGTACTACAAGGCTGACATCCGATACTGTCTGCCCACCTACACAAGTACAGCTGTACTACAAGGCTGACACCTGGTACTGTCTATTTGCCCACCTAAACAAGTACAGCTGTACTACAAGGCTGACACCTGGTACTGACTATCTGTCCACCTACCAAAGTAAAGCTGTACTACAAGGCTGACACCTGGTACTGTCTATCTGTCCACCTACACAAGTACAGCTGTACTACAAGGCTGACACCTGATACTGTCTATCTAACCACCTACACAAGTACAGCTGTACTAGAAGGCTGACACCTGATGCTGTCTATCTAACCACCTCGTAGGTACAGCTGTACTACAAGGCTGACACCTGGTACTGTCTATCTGCCAACCTACACAAGTACAGCTGTACTACAAGGCTGACACCTGATACTGTCTATCTGTCCACCTACCAAAGTAAAGCTGTACTACAAGGCTGACACCTGGTACTGTCTATCTGTCCACCTACACAAGTACAGCTGTACTACAAGGCTGACACCTGATACTGTCTATCTAACCACCTACACAAGTACAGCTGTACTACAAGGCTGACACCTGGAACTGTCTATCTGCCCACCTACACAAGTACAGCTGTACAACAAGGCTGACACCTGATACTGTCTATCTGTCTACCTACCAAAGTAAAGCTGTACTACAAGGCTGAAACCTGGTACTGTCTATCTGCCCACCTACACAAGTACAGCTGTACTACAAGGCTGACACCTTATGCTGTCTATCTGCCCACCTACACAAGTACAGCTGTACTACAAGGCTGACACCTGATACTGTCTATCTGCCCACCTACACAAGTACAGCTGTACAACAAGGCTGACACCTGATACTGTCTGCCCACCTAAACAAGTACAGCTGTACTACAGGCTGACACCTGATACTGTCTGCCCACCTACACAGGTACAGCTGTACTACAGGCTGACACCTGATACTGTCTGCCCACCTACACAGGTACAGCTGAACTACAAGGCTGACACCTGATACTGTCTATCTGCCCACCTACACAAGTACAGCTGTACTACAAGGCTGACACCTTATGCTGTCTATCTGCCCACCTACACAAGTACAGCTGTACTACGAGGCTGACACCTGATACCGTCTATCTGCCCACCTACAGAGGTACAGCTGTACTACAAGGCTAACACCTGATACTGTCTATCTGCCCACCTACACAGGTACAGCTGTACTACAAGGCTGACACCTGATACTGTCTGCCCACCTACACTGGTACAGCTGTACTACAAGGCTGACACCTGATACTGTCTGCCCACCTACACAGGTACAGCTGTACTACAAGGCTGACACCTGGTACTGTCTATCTGCCCGCCTACACAGGTACAGCTGTACTACAAGGCTGACACCTGGTACTGTCTATCTGCCCACCTACACAAGTGCGGCTGTACTACAAGGCTGACACCTGATACCGTCTATCTGCCCACCTACCAAAGTAAAGCTGCATCTGCAGTCTTTTCTTGTCATACTCAAACTCAGCCTTCTTCAGCTCCACAGCATACTCAGGGTTCTCCTTGTCCTGGAAAACATTCAGCAGCTTAAGTAAGTCTACATCCAGATGTTCAAGTTCAAACAAAAATCACTTCAACTTTGCTAGCCAGAAAATCGCCACTCCTTTCAAATGTGGTTAAAATCATTCAAAATATTTTCTGCATAAACACTGTGGACAAAAAGTATAAGAAATATATGAAACAATAAAATTTCTACAATGAGTACAGTGCCAAAAACGCTTTTTAAGAGAACAAAAGAAAAAACAAAATAAATAAATGACTGAGTAATTGCTACAATTGTAAATTTTACATTAAATTGTATATGTATATACTTATCCTGTCTGATGCTGGGATGGTCGGGAGGGTATATAGCACACGAGATATAATAAGCATATAAATATACAATTAAATGTAAAATCAACAAATTTTTAAACTTATCCTATCTCACACTATGCATTTATCTGGAGGGACCCAGATACCCTAGCCTGTAGAGACTACAACCATGGGCGACCACGTTGCTTTGAATAGAGATCTATTCAGTGTATGACTTACAACCAGTTCGAAGGGGTCTCCAGGCAATCAGTCCTACAAGACAGACCACACCACTATCTCTGATGAACAATAGGGTGGGCCAGCTTGGCATCTCTTCTAATGCTTCGTCAAAGCTATCCATCACCCCAGAGGAATGTGAAGCATGCTTAGACAAGAAGAGGAGCAATCAACACAAGAGGATCATCAAACTGGTACCAAGACATCACCTGCCAAAAGCAGAGGTGAGCAGGTAAGGGTTCAGGACACCACCAAACATTTGCGCCTTGTGGCGACTTCGATGTTAAATACCGGAGTCTCTACAGATGAGGTAGCTCACCCTCCACTGGGTACTCAGTCTGGGGACACAAATAATAAAGACAATTAAAACAGGAGCGACACATCCAATATTTATTCTGTATGTACAGGATACGGGGAACTGGGCATCAGAGCGGGTATTGTCTATCTCCATTGGTGTGCAAAAGGAGATTGTAGTACGGGAGACTTCTATTTAGGCCATGGTGGAAAAGGGGATGAAGAGTCCACAGCTTCGGGGTAGATATGGAGTGGGCTAACCATGTCTTCATGGTCCTCTAGACTCAGGATAGACACCAACGACTGGATGGTAAACAAACGGTCTGGCTTTCCCGGAAACTGATTCTTCGCGATGAAGTCCTTGTGAAGGTCCAGAAAGACCTTCCCATTCTGTATTCTCTTAAACATGTTAACATCAAGAGAGTGGATCTCACTTACTCTAGTAGCAGTGGCAAGGGCCAGGAGGTAAGCTCTCTTAAGGGTGATCAACTTGAAGTCCTCTGCAAGTGGTTCATAATCTGCAGAAGTCAAATAGCAAAGGATGACTTTAAGATCCCAAATGGGCAGACGAAATTGAGAGGACTGATCTGTCAGCTTTGAGGACCAAATAAGGGACTGTAGCTCAGCAACCGTGGAGCTAATCGTAGTGAGCTAGTTAGCCAAAGTGGATCCTTTAAGCTTCCGAGTAGACCTCAGATGTTGCAAATACTCTGCGACCTGTTGAGGGAGAAGCAGCGATCAGCTTCGAACGCCTATGGTCAAATAAGGCCTTAGTGGAGGAACGGTGAGCCTCCATGATGGTCTTGAGTACTCTCTTCGAATATCCTTTGGCGACAAGCAACTTCTGGAGATGAGCCAGACGCACAGATGGAGGGTATCGAACGATTGGTGCACTAGGTGCGAGTGAGGCTGGAGTAGAAGATAATCCACCAGTGGATGATGGTGCAACTTTCTTTCTGCAATCTGTACCAGCGTTGGCCAATAAGGTATGACCAAAAGCATTCAAAGTTGGTTGGTGGACACCGCCTTCTGAATGGTAGGTAGAATGTCGGTCAAGTTCTCCCACAAGATGGCCAGAGCATCATGGTCCCATTCCTGAAGATCTGGGATGGGATAGACGGAACCGTGGTAGCTAAACATTGAACCTGGTTGCAAAGAGGTCGGCGTCTGGTCTTGGGTTAAGTTGGCAGATTCACAGTGCAAACATTCAACATCACCAGCCACCACAGAAGATGCAGATGCAGTGAGATCAGGAGGGAGATCGGGACCTGGCAATTGTCGCTCTGGAGGAAGGGCTTCAGGAAGCACTGGATCGGTCGAAGTTGAATTTAACAACTCTGATTGAATGTTTGTGACAATGTCAGAAGGCCACAGGTGTTATTGTTTGCATAGAGGTAGGGGCTGTCTGAGTGCCAATTGCATGAAACATTGCATTTTCGACCACCTGTCTGGAGGAAAGGACATCACGCCCAGTCTGGTGTCAAATGGAGCCTTGATGACCTGAAACTGTGGAATGGGAATCATCATGGACTTTGCAACGTCGACAAGCCAATCTAGCTGATGAAGAAGCTGCTGTTAAAAAAGATGTTGCACGAGGATGTCCACATATCTGCGTGGGCCTGAATGCAATTGTCAATGTACAGGTTGAAGACAATCCATCAAATGTGCAGAAACCTTGTGACCGGCTTGGTAATATGGGTGAAACCCATGGGCCGAGAAATAATCTGCAAGGTCAAAGTGCTGAGGTCAAGTAAAGGTCAAAATTTAACATATTGCACAAAAAAAGAAACACAAATGATGAGCCCTACTACTAGCAACACATATACCAAATTTCATTGAAATACACCAAATTACGTTGAAAATCAGAGCAAATTTAGGAGTCATCGTTGGTGGGAACTAGCAACTTTAAGCTTCATTGGTCCAGTATTTCTTTCTTTAGATGTTTTTTACAGATGACATCAGACAACCAGGTCATGACACAAGCTAACTACAGTCAAGTCCTGTTAATCCGACATTGTTGGTTGCATATGATTATGTCGGATTAATGAGTATGTCGGATAAACGAAATTAGGTAGTATAAACGTTCGTGATCGAAAATTGGACAACTATACGAAAGATAACGATACGAACACATAGGAAAAGGAAAAATATAATATTCATATTGTTGTGTTACATTGTCAGCGGATTATGTTTTCTAATCATGCAACCACTAAAGTTTAACGCAAAACTACTGTTACGGACTGTATGACTAATTCAAAATTGACTGATTTTAAAGCATAGTCTGGAATGGAAGTCGCTAATTTAAAACTTGTGCTTAAGAAAGCTGCTTTCTTAGTGGCTAATGTCGACTTCCTGTTAGTAATTTCATTGGTCGGACAAAGTTCACGAAGGGTCGTTCTGACATGACCTGTAATGGGATGACCAGTAGTGAGAACTTGTATCCGATTTTAATGAGATTGAGGTAATCTAGGCATGTGATTAATCCTGTTTTGTTTATTTAAAGCAGTAATTGTTTATTGTTTAGCAAGTTTATCTCTGCAGCCATTGAAATATGCAGCTACTCGCCGACTTGTCTCGCATCAAAACACTGTGTACTCGCGGGCAGATAACCACGGAGTACGCTAATCACTGTGTCGGATTAACGAGACTAATTAATGAGTGATTTCAGCAATTCGTTGCAAATTAGGTGTGTCGGAGTGCGAGACTGTCGGATTAACGGGTCTAAATAGCACTGATTAAATCGGTTCCCATCGTTTGTGTCGGATAAACCCGATTGTCGGATTAACGAGACTTGACTGTGTACACCCTCATAATACATACATAAAGTCTGAGGACTCGCTGAAATGTCTCCTTGAGTTTCTTTCTCTTGTCTTTCAATACTTTCTCATTCAGCTTAGGAGCCTCAATGGGATTGTACTCTGTAGGGAATATGAAGTTATATAAGCAAGGAGTAGTTCACATCACCTATTTGTGTAAGCATGGGTTAAACTTCTGTTGCATGTTAGATAACATTTTTCATGTCAACTTGATATTTGTTTGTTTGTTTGTTTAATGCCGCACTCAGCAATATTCCAGCTATATGATAGCAGTCTGTAAATAATCGAGTCTGGCCCAGACAACCAAGCGATTAACATCATAAGCATCTGTCTACACAATTGGGATACGAAGACATGCTTCAACCAAGTCAGTGAGTCTGACCACCCGATCCCGTTAGTTGCCTCTTACGACATGCATAGTCGCCTTTTACTGCAAGCATGGGTTCTGACGACCTTTTCTAACCCAGATCTTCATAGGTTGTCAACTTAATGACAGTCAAATATTCAAAGACTCTATTGCTGAAAGTACAGGTTAATTAAGTTGTTGATTGTTGTTTAAAACCACACTCAGCAATATTCCAGCTATATGACAGCGGTAGGTTAATTAAGCAAATACTTGACTTGAAATACAGGAATCAACAACCCTTTGTTTATACTTGAAAAAGTTTTAAACAATAACAGATTGTATACATAAAATGAAGACAGCAGGATTTCAGTACCCACCCATCGAATCAATCTGTTCCATTTCTTCCAGCAGCTTCATTGGATCTTTCCCTTTGAGCACAGCCTGTCGCACCAGCATACGCTGCTTCTTGTTCTAAACATACAATTTGAAGATGCCGTCAGAAGATGTGTACACTGTTTTTCACACACTGCATGACAACTATCCATTTACAAATACAATAACTCTGTTAAAGTTAAGTTTACTCATTTTGACCAAAGTGAATTACTATATTATTGCAAAGCTTATCATTAAAATAAAACATAAACTAAATTTCCATCAATAAACATACATGGTCCTCGTCATTCTCATGATACAGTAATTAGTCTTACCTTCTTCAGTTCTCTCTTTCTTGCCTCCTTTCCTAGTGAAAACAAACAGAAGAATGATAATCAGCCTTTTTCATGTTGATAGTACCACAAGATATCGTAAGTATTTCTCAACATGTTGGAGGAAACAGGACTTGTTTTGGCGCTAATTCTCTATGCTGACTATGTCATGTACCAATAATTAAGGGGGATTTCTGTGGTCCTTGAGTGTGTCTGTGTGGTTGTTTCACAGCACTCTCGGCAATATTGCAGCTATATGACCATGGCAAGTTATTCCAATGCAGTCGGGACCAGTGATTGATATTATGAGCAAGGATCCACATAGAGATTTCAGAAACATCTTCTTCCGCCCACTGCATCAAAATTCTTTGATGTTGTATCATTGGGTACTTTTTAACTGAATCACCAGTAGATTAGGAGAAAATGTGTGTACAGCTGATTACTATTTCCGGCTTACTTTATGAGAAAATACAGACAGTCATCTTAATCTCAGCATATAAAACAATGCCTTGTAGAGCAGGAAATACAATTTTAATGGTAACTCATCGTGTCTAGTGATGTTTTCAATCAACTTTCATATATTTATTGACCAAGTCTGTTATACATGTTCCTTCACTTGAATTTGCTGAAGGGATATGATGTGGGTTTTTTTTAAAGCGCATAACACTCAATAATTTCTTTTTTAACCTATGAATCATAAACAACTACTATTCTAATCTTATTTCAAACTCAGAAACGTACATCGTAGATCATGTTAGGTAGGCAGAGTATGTTGTGTTGTCATCTTCCCCCCATGACTCCACCTCCGTTAAGACTCAACAGCAGGAGACATTGTCAGAACCCTGAGGGCATCACAGTCCCCTGACAGTGTTGACATTTTAATTTTCCGAAAAAAAAGAACCTGAAGTTGAACTATTCAGACTGAAGTACATTGATTATTTTCTGGTGTTTGAACTTTGAAGTTTTCTGCTGTTTTGAAATTTAAGTTGTTTTGAAGGAAAGTTGGAGAAAGTTTCATTTCGGAGCATCAACATCAACAACATCAGCATGATCAGTAGTCTTGTTATAATGAAAGAATTTTGAGTGTTCCAAAATCATGAAAGGTCCAATCTTGACATACTTGAAGTCTGAAAACTTAATAAAAGCTCTAGTGTACTAGAGTACTGTTATCTGGGATATTTTATCGTTGCGTATTGAGATATGTATCGTACTGTGACCAGAATATAGAGATACAAATCGTATCATGACCTTCCTGTATCGTTGCAGCCCTATTCATTGCTATGCTATCAACCAAGTCACTGATCAACTGATCCAGTCTTTCGTCTTACAATCAACAAAAGTTGCTGAGGACCAATTCTAATGTGACATCCTTGAGCATTGTTGAGCATATTGAGGGTTTGGGGTAATATCATATTTTAATATAAGTAGCCAAGAAAACATTTCATACTTAACATGAGGATCATGATGAGGACAAGTCTGTGACTAAGTTTCAAACTTAAAGGGAAACAACACTCCAACTTTGAAAGTATTGTGATATGGATCAGCTTTTTCTTTGCGGATTCAAAATTTGCTTATCATGGACTATAATCTTGAGTTGTTTGACTTGTGTTGGGTGCTATTTTCGCTAGCAACACCTATCGGAGGATCGAGGAATGAGAAACCTGATATAGTAACAAAGGATAAAAAATAAAGAGTTGCAGCCAGACTGCCATGTGTTTTCTTTGTTGAGTAGTGTATTCCAAAATGCAAAGGTGATGTTATTGGTAAACAACATATTATGCGAAGTAAAAAACTACTAAACATATCTCTTCAGTGAATTCAGCTAGATCTAAATGGAAATTTGGTAACTTTGAGATAATTTGAAATAAAATAACACTAAACATTGCTAAACATGATGATTTACCATTAATATTTATTTTCACTTCTACTAAGCATTGTTTTATATGCTGACATTAAGACCATCGTTATTATTTTCTTGTAAACTAAGCTGGAAATAGCAATCAGATGTACAAACATTTTCATGTAATCTACCGGTGATTCATTTAAAAAGACCCAATAAAATAACTTCAAGAAATTTTGATATAATGATCAAACTAATTGTATCTGCCACTATTATTTTATCAGAAATAATATATTCCAATACAATGTCATTTTAGTGGCAGTCTTTACTATATATAATCAAAATATTAATAACCATAAACACAGCTCTTGCTATTGCCGGATATATTTTATGTTTGGAATATGTCTGTGCATTGAGGCGTGTACAGGGGTTAAAAATACCATTGCCAAGTAAGGTTTAGATGTTGGGCGAGTAATATACGTTTGTCTAGCATGCCCGTGGACAAGTAGAGCAAAATGAACTGGGTCAAGTTTCACGAGAATGTAATCATGTGATCATGTTACGATATTTTACTGGCTAATATTTTGCTCATGCCCCAGACCATCAATCTAATTTGCATACAGTTACACCAGTCAACCAATAGGATTAATACACTTAAATGTCAGGCAGGTCAACAATGAGAACCAGGCTTGTTTCATTGATAAATTGTTGTAACACTTCCATATATGGCACTTGCTTCTTGGAAATGGAATGACGGACAGTTGACTACATTTCATGGAACTTGTAATGCAAGGTAGATCTAGTGCCGACTTTTGAAGCTTCGTTAGGCCTAGCTTTGATGAAATATTTTATTTGAATACACCAGTCACCGTTGAGGCTCACACGCTCTTGATCACGAAAACTTTGTTAAAACAAAAGTCAAACTACAACAAATATGACTTTTAACGAGTGGGAGTGTAAAACTTGAGTTTATTAAATATGTAAGTAAATTTTGGGAGCCATACGTTACTGTGTGCTATAACCGAGTTAGCGCTATATTGAGGGGCTCAATAGTGAGAGAACACTGATTCTCAGTTCTGTAGATGTAAAATTTTACTGAATTTATTTGCTTGATTTTGGGCAAACACATTTTAAAATAGGGCTTGTAAGAATGTTGGTCATACTTGCCCTTGGTCAAGTAACATCTTTCATAAATTTTCAACCACTGGTGTATTATGTGCACCCCAATCAACACCATGTAAACAGCTAAGAAAGTGTGCACTTTACTCAAGAAAGTATGGTGAATGTAATGAATGTGTTTCTTGATTTTATTCTTTTATCCAGTCATGGTCAAATATGAGGTTGGTGTGTCAAAAAAACAACAAATGTCTGATTGACAAAAAATAATAATTTTGGGATCCCTGGTTGCAATAAACTCAGCAACCCAAGCTTTGTGTTGTCTTAAACAATAGGTCCCACAATTACCCCCTCACTGGCCCGAAGTCCAGTTTATTGGGTTGCTGATGGCAATTCGTATTGGGTAATTATTTGGGTTATTATCATGATTATAGCGGTGCTGGCAGACATCTGAGAGTTGGAGTAGTGTTGCCCTTTTACCATGTTAACCTGTCATGGAATGGTGATCCTTTCATGACACATTAATCAGTATCAAGCTAACACTACTATGACTACAGTTGCTGCTATCAGCAAAAGAATGCAATAACAAGTTGACAAGGGAAACATGGTTAAGTGTGACAAGCAATTGTTTTTTAATTGTAGACAACATTTATTATTTATGTTGTTATGTCCTTACATCGAGCACTTTGTTGGGAATGTTGACATGAAAATTAGTTCTGATTGCATTAGTGACTAATCTGTAAATATCATACTTTTAACTATAATTTCAGCAATAATAATGTGGACACTAAGAGCTCTGAATCTGGAAAAGCAAAATCAATATCTTCTTAAGTAGTATAAGTAACTCCCACTCATTAAGTTACTGTCATTACTTATACTACTTCTTTATACTATTTAACAAACTCTTTGTGATATCATGAGTGAGTTGGGTTTAACGCCGCTTTTAACAGTATTCCAGTTATATCGCGGCGTGTCAGCTTAATGTGGGAGGAAAGCCCGATGTGATGCAGGTCTCAGACGTTTACCACTTCGGTGAAACCCACGAGCACAGGTATGGTGCTAACAAACCTAGAAACATAATCTGGGCGAACCTGGATTCGAACCCACAATCATAGTTTTCTGGCGTGCCCATGGGACGCAACTCTGCACAGCGAATCGCGGCACCTTAGACGACTGGCCCACCCGTGCCCCCTGTGATATCATGATATTGTATGGGTCATCAATAATTTGTCGCAATCAAATTGTGCACGAGTAGCCTGCTCATAAATATCACAAAATGCTTCAGACAATACAAATGTCGAAAAATGACCCATACACTTGGTGCTCAGGAAAAAACATGAGAGGCCATGTAGGCTGCCTGGTGTTTCACTAATCTTGTGCAAATTAATATGTTACTTTTTGTACAGATTAGCGAGTATATGCTTCATTAAAAAATAAATGACAGTCATGTGCTCTTTTTCCTCCGCAGTGTAAACGTGAATATATCTTTCTATTGCTGTGTAGTAGCTTCAAGGTACCATTCTACCAAATGTACAGTATGTTTTTGGCACTACTTACTGAATTGATCCGTAGGATTCATATATTTCCCACTCTTGGTGGTGTTAATTGACCGTCTACCCATCGTTGCAGATTTATCAGCAACACTGGCACACGAAGAAACTGCAAATAGCACCAAAATTCGATTGTTGTCCCACTTCTAATCTACGTTAGCGCAAAGGCTTCCATGACAGTCACGTGACACCTAGTGGCCAAGTTTTTGGTATTTATTTGCGACATTACATTGCAACAAATATGACAAATATGACAAATATGACAAATATGACAAATATGAAAATATGAAAATTGTAACTGACGAAAATACGATTAAATGGAAAAAGGGTATAGGAATAGCGAATTTGAAAATGAAATATTACGGTAAAACACTAAATCAGACATACTTCTTTCATGGTCATTTAGTAATTTAGTCTATCTTCATTAGAGTTTGGTCCAAACAATAAAATCTCCCAATTATCGTAAAGTGTTACCATGCTGAACAAACTAAAATACTATTCAGAAGTATGCGTGAAGGTATTATGACAAAAGTATATTTAACTTACTAAACGGAAAGAAGGCAGCGATACACTATGACTGGTTTGTTTGTTTGTTTGTTGTTTAACTCCGCATTCGGCACTATTCCATCTATATGACGGCGGTCTGTAAATAATCGAATCTGGACCAGACAAGCCAGTGCTTTGCGTCATGAGCATCGACCTAGGCAATTGGGATCACCCAAGTCAGCGAGCCTGACCACCCGATCCCGTTAGTCGCCTCTTACGACAAGCGAAGTCGCCTCTTAAGCATTGTTCCTTTTAACAGAGTGTACCAAATTCTTTATGGTGATTGAGGATTATTTGTGATTCTCTTTCTTGGTTGTATTTTATATAAGACAGTGACATCACATGTTCCAATGGGATTGGTCTTTTTGTATATCTATCATTCTCAATTTTTAGTTTGTGATTACTTAAACGATGTTTTGATAAATGTGACCTATGAGCTTTGTTTTTACAATATGTAAGATAATTCTCAATGTTTATAGATGACTTGACCAACATGTATGTTCTTAACTTGCTGTTGGATAAATAGGAATCCCTTATTGAATGCGTGATCATATTTTTACATTTGGACTGAAGTTGGATTTATATTGGTTTCATTACATTTTTTGTGTTTACTATTTCAAAAGTTGGTTTTATTTAACCCAGAGATCGTTTTGACCAGAAAGATTGATATTTGCGACCAAAGCTTATTTAAGAATGGCATTTCTTGTGTTATATGTATATGACTTGTAATCAATTATTTTATATATTATTAATATTGGTACTAATAGTGGGTATATACCAAGTTCTGCCTGACAGCCTAGATATGTGTTTTCTTGCCTTGGTTTTCCTTGTGCTGACCATTTAAAGACACTGTTTCTTTTATTGTGATTTCCAAAGATAACTACATAAATAATAATCAAATTGTACTTTACACGAATCCTCTCCTCCCATTGCTTACACTTCCTTCCTCTGCATATAACATTATATTGCGGGGAACAATTGATGCTCTGCAGCAATCTCTACTTGTACCCTATTGCCTAGACTAACATTTAGTCTCTGAAATCTTATATTACACAATATCCTTCTTGACTCTAAAAATAAAAATAAAATTCCCTATGCTGATTGTGGAATAGAGCTAGCTTGAGCTGGCTAGACTTGCTTTTGTATGCATTTCTAGATTATGTTTTTTTCATAAAATAAATATATTCCACGTTCATGGTGCAGGACTACCTATTGCCCTCCCCTATCTTTTATGTCAGAATGAACCTCAATCCGACTCCGGCTCCTGAAACCTTGTTCTTTGATAACAAGGCCACTGGAAGGAAACTAACGAATTGTGTTAATTAGCACGTAGTCTCCGGGATAATTGGTCATTATCCCTTAGATAATGAGTGAAATGAGAAGTGAATGTTTGCAATGTATACGATGAATGACTGTTTATTGAATTAAAAGTTATGTTTGAATGTGTGAAAATTGCTAAGAAAGTGTATTAAATTAAAAGTGACCCAAATGTAAGTTTGGATTTGTGAATTTAGTACTGTGAATAAATGATTATTTGTCGTTTTGAGTGTATATAATGCATGGTTAATGCAGTTCGGTTTCGGACATCTTGGTTTAATACCGACTCGCTTCAAATGCAACAAATTTGCAAATAAATGGGTACGGGTCGTCCAAATTTGTGTACGGGTCCTCAAAATGTGTATACGGTCCTCTAAATTTGTGTATGGATCATCTAGGTTTGTGTACAGGTCCTCCATATTTTGTGTACGAGTCAGCAAAATAACAACCTAACAATTTAAAAAACAAAACCAAAAATTGTTAATGGTTTCATGTCGTGTATCTTATCACAACTAACTTTGAGTTTATGCGTGGCATCTTCTTTGTGATATAAACGAGCTGTTGTATCTATTGCAAGGGGTTTAAAGCACAAGAAAGCGATAGTAAAAAGATCTTTTTCTCAAACTAACATCGATTTTAGTTTCTCTTAACGATAACACAGACCATACAATAACTATTTTATCCGACAATCGAGTTTCATTATGTTTTACTAATATAGGAAATGGCTCTGCTGAAAGAAGTATAGCTGCTCGGTGCTTCCGCCTCTCGTTCGGGTGTAAACATTTCGGTCGAGTCAGTATACGTCCCTTTCCCAGACCAGGCCACAGCGCTACGTTTATCGAGTGGTATACATCTTGCAAGGGACGCGACTCTTCCCATTAATTACTTGCGCTCAGTGCTACTGTCATGGCGGATCTGTTTACGCATTTGTTTACTGTCGAAGGTCGGCTTGTTGTTATATTAACGTACAGATCGCTAACTATAACTGCCAGGAAGTCTCTTAGGTGGGTTATGGTCGGTTTTATTGTGGTTGTGTCAACAGTGCGAATGCTAAATTTGTTTGCCACCAAGTATGATTAAAATCGATATGGCTCAAGACATATCTTTTAGTATCTTATGTTATCCACGCGTGCCTCTTAGATCCTTTGGGTTAGTTGTGTCAGATTTGTTTGTTTGTTGTTGTTTAACGAAGCACTCACCAATATTTCAACTCAACTAAATGACGGCGGTCTGTAAATAATCGAGTTTGCTCATGTATTGTCATTTTAGCCATTAATAATAAGCGGCACTGCTTTTCAACCAAACCTTGTGAAATCATTTTATACCACCCGTTATTATTTTTTGTGTATCATGCACAATGTTAGACAAAAGGATGTGTTGAAAGTCTCTATGTTCTAACACTCATATGTTGAGTTTGTGTTCTGTTTCCAAAATAGAAAACACTACCATTTAACACTGCAAATTAGGGCTGGGACGGGTGACTCGGGTACTCGAGTCTTGTGGGCCCTGAATAGGACCCGGGTACCCACAGGACTACCCAGACCCGTGGTTAGTCACGTTATATTTTGTTTAAAGACAAAAACATACTATAGCTCAATGGTTACACTACAAGTCGCTAATGTTAAGATTATTTTCTGACGATGCACTCATTCCTTTTGACTTGTAAATGTTTGAGTAAAAATAAAGCTTCAGTCAACTTCAGTGTATGCATGATCTGATTGTTTGATACATGTATCTGAATAGCTTTAGCCAGGGCTGCGGTAAAACAATTACCAATCTGACATTTTGTTCCCTACTCTTGAGACTTACAGTGGGTACCCGGGTAATAGGGGATCGGGTAACCGGGTAGTAAATTTGAACTCGTCCCAGCCCTACTGTAAATATATCACAAAATAAATGCTTCAATAACTGCAAACTGTGAAAAGTTTTATTGTGGTATGGTACTTAGTTTTAAGTCTTAATTTCATTCCATCTGTGCTTTAAACTTAAATTTACAAATAAAGCGTGTGTGACAGTGTTAATGCACTTTTACACTTCCCAATACAAGGAATAAAATCTGGTATTCAAGTTTCAGTGAATGTTACTTTTGTTAGAAATACAGTCAAAATCAATTGGGTTTCTGTCACTTGCAGAACTACAACAATGGATCATCTCAAGCATGACAAGTACATCCTTAATATCAGAACTCAGCTATTTATCATATCTAGCTTGTGACAATTTTAACATGATATTCTCGTTTCACATTTGTCAACTGAATAATGTGTTATAGTTCACAAGAAAATTAAGTTAGCCAGTCAGGCAACCTTAATGTTATTTCCATGAGCCCTGCTTGAAATTAATGGTTTCTTAACCATAAAAGGTCGGGGATTTAATCTTTCCGAGGACATTTTCTAGTGTGACTTATAACTTGAAAACTACAGCATAGATTCTTCTCAAACTTTGTGTATTAATAGGACAGGTGCTGTGTGAGGTTTGATTTCAATTTTTGGATTTTCTGAAAAAATACAGCTGTTTTTCATTGGGTTACTTATATTTTTTCTACTTAAACATTTTAAGCACTGCATGCATTCTTTTGAAATTTAGGGAACAGTTTCCATACTAAAATAGAGGAGGTGCAGTGCACAGTTTGATAAGTGGAATTTCTCAGAAAATATACCGGTATCTTGTTTCATGTTTTCAACTTAGAAATATTTTTATACCCCTGACCTAAAAGCTTCAAAAGGGCAGCGCATCATATTTAGGACATAAACATACTGTGTTTTCAATGTAGAGCTAGGTTACCTGTAGATTTAACCATGCTAAATTGAATTTGGAACCAAAAGCGCAGCATGAGGTTTCAAATATTAAATCTCCATTCTACCACGACTAAATAAAATGCCAACTCTTTTGTAATACAAAAATATATTGAGTGAAGTGGCATGGGTTGAGTCCAGTATTTTGAGTGGGTTGTTGATCTGAATTTACGGAATCCCTGACAACAGCCTGTAAACACAATATGGTGCTCTATATGTCCAGCAGTTCCTTTACACTGTAATACTTCACACAAACTTATCATACCTTATCATATTGCTTGTCTATTGAATGTAGGAAGTAATCGTCGCTACCTCCACAACTGTTGTAATATATTTATTATTTTTACTATGTATGACTCCTACTGGTCACTCTACACATTAATATATCAAAGAAACATCCCTGTGTGTTTTCCAATATCAATTAAACGGGAGACGAACACTGGTCGCGGAAATGGACAACTACAGACTTTTCATATTGCTTGTATGTAGCACGTGGGTAAAAAATCGTCGCTACCTCCACAACTGTTGTAATATATTTATTAATTTTACTATTTATGACTCCTACTGGTCACTCTACACATTAATATATCAAAGAAACATCCCTGTGTGTTTTCCAATATCAATTAAACAGGAGACGAACACTGGTCGCGGAAATGGACAACTACAGACTTTTCATATTGCTTGTATGTAGCGCGTGGGTAAAAAATCGTCGCTACCTCCACAACTGTTGAAATATAATGATTATTTTTACTATTTATGACTCCTACTGGTCAGTATACACATTATTATAAAAAAGAACCATCGCTGTGTGTTTTCCAATATCAATTAAACAGGAGACGAACACTGGTCGCGGAAAGGGACAACTACAGACTTTTCATATTGATTGGATATGGCGCGTGGGTAAATAGTGGTCACTACGTCCACAGCTGTTGTAATATATTTATTATTTTTACTATGTATGACTCCTACTGGACCGTCTACACATTATTATATAAAAGAAACATCCCTGTGTGTTTTCCAATATCAATTAAACGGGAGACGAACATTGGTCGCGGAAAGGGACAACTGCAGACTTTTCACATTGCTTGTCTATTCAGTGTAGGAAATAATCGTCGCTACCTCCACAACTGTTGTAATATTTTTATTATTTTTACTATGTATGACTCCTACTGGACCGTCTACACATTATTATGTAAAAGAAACATCCCTGTGTGTTTTCCAATATCAATTAAACAGGAGACGAACACTGGTCGCGGAAAGGGACAACTACATACTTTTCACATTGCTTGTCTATTCAGTGTAGGAAGTAATCGTCACTACCTCCAGAACTGTTGTAATATATTTATTATTTTTACTATGTATGACTCCTACTGGTCACTCTACACATTATTATATCAAAGAAACATCCATGTGTGTTTTCCAATATCAATTAAACGGGAGACGAACAGTGGTCGCGGAAAGGGACAACTACAGACTTTTCATATTGCTTGCTTATAGCATGTGGGTAAATAGTGGTCACTACCTCTACAACTGTTGAAACATAATGATATGACTCCTACTGGTCACTCTACACATTATTATACAAAAGAAAGATCCCTGTGTGTTTTCCAATATCAATTAAACAGGAGACGAACACTGGTCGCGGAAAGGGACAACTACAGACTTTTCATATTGATTGGATATGGCGCGTGGGTAAATAGTGGTCACTACGTCCACAGCTGTTGTAATATATTTATTATTTTTACTATGTATGACTCCTACTGGACCGTCTACACATTATTGTACAAACGAAACATCCCTGTGTGTTTTCCAATATCAATTAAACAGGAGACGAACACTGGTCGCGGAAAGGGACAACTACAGACTTTTCACATTGCTTGTCTTTTCAGTGTAGGAAATAATCGTCGCTACCTCCACAACTGTTGTAATATTTTTATTATTTTTACTATGTATGACTCCTACTGGACCGTCTACACATTATTATGTAAAAGAAACATCCCTGTGTGTTTTCCAATATCAATTAAACGGGAGACGAACACTGGTCGCGGAAAGGGACAACTACAGACTTTTCACATTGCTTGTCTATTCAGTGTAGGAAGTAATCGTCACTACCTCCAGAACTGTTGTAATATATTTATTATTTTTACTATGTATGACTCCTACTGGTCACTCTACACATTATTATATCAAAGAAACATCCCTGTGTGTTTTCCAATATCAATTAAACGGGAGACGAACACTGGTCGCGGAAAGGGACAACTACAGACTTTTCATATTGCTTGCTTATAGCATGTGGGTAAATAGTGGTCACTACCTCCACAACTGTTGAAACATAATGATATGACTCCTACTGGACCGTCTACACATTATTATATAAAAGAAAGATCGCTGTGTGTTTTCCAATATCAATTAAACAGGAGACGAACACTGGTCGCGGAAAGGGACAACTACAGACTTTTCATATTGATTGGATATGGCGCGTGGGTAAATAGTGGTCACTACGTCCACAGCTGTTGTAATATATTTATTATTTTTACTATGTATGACTCCTACTGGACCGTCTACACATTATTATGTAAAAGAAACATCCCTGTGTGTTTTCCAATATCAATTAAACAGGAGACGAACACTGGTCGCGGAAAGGGATAACTACAGACTTTTCATATTGATTGTCTGTTGAGTGTAGGAAGTAATCGTCGCTACCTCCAGAACTGTTGTAATATATTTATTATTTTTACTATGTATGACTCCTACTGGTCACTCTACACATTATTATATCAAAGAAACATCCATGTGTGTTTTCCAATATCAATTAAACGGGAGACGAACAGTGGTCGCGGAAAGGGACAACTACAGACTTTTCATATTGCTTGCTTATAGCATGTGGGTAAATAGTGGTCACTACCTCTACAACTGTTGAAACATAATGATATGACTCCTACTGGTCACTCTACACATTATTATACAAAAGAAAGATCCCTGTGTGTTT